GATAATAATTTATTACCCGTGTATTAAATCGATCATTACTGCAGTAATTCAGTAACCATCGGTATTTAATTGTATTTATATAATACTATTATATTATGGATACTCGTCGGCAATATTGTATTGAACGACTTGTTATGCGAGTTTATTAGAAATGTGTACGAATGACCTTCAAATAGATTGTGTAAAAGCAAGATTATACTGGTCTACTTTTTAATTTGTTAATACATACGCATATTGTCAATGAAATACTTTTTCTGCGGATCGAGTAAACGTTTTATTTTCGAAACGAAGAGTATATAATACATTTCGTGTCCGCTACTCGTACAAGACAAAAATAAATTATACTGTTTAATTTGGGAATTTAATTTTGAATCGCGGCTAATAATATAAATGGTACACTTACGTAATGTTATTATAATCAGGGAATTTAAACGCATTTCGCATTGTTTTCCAAAGTTTACTGTGCCGATGTTCATTTTGTTCTACGAATTAGATTAATGCATTTTAAACATGATAATACGATATTTTATTTTTCATTTTACGATGTTTAGGGCATTTCCTTAATTTTTAGAGCATTTTAAGAATGTTGGATCTAAAATTCGAATTTAAAATATTATTTTATGATTTTTCATATAAAAAACTATATGAAGTAGGTACTCGTATTATGTTAGTACGAGATAATATAGTAATGCCAAAATCCTGCAGTTACTTTTTGTTATAGGTTATAATCATGTAATTTTGAATATGAGAATATGAATAATATTTTATTTTGTGTTTTTTGATTTTAAAATAACTTTCGAGAATAATAATTTTTAGAGCATTCTATAAAAATTGTTATTATGGAATTGTTGAGGTTTTAATGGAGTGTTACATTCTCAACCCTAATTAAAATAAATCTCAGTAAAATTTGAATGCACGCAGATAATTATATTATAATATATACATAGTAAGATTAAAAGAGCAGAATATTAATAATATATAATGGTTTTTATAAAAATAGGTTTTTTTATTTGATCGCAATCTAAATCAACGACCTAACGTATGTGGGCTATAATTTAAACATTTAGGTATGCGTTCGTATACGATTTTAGACTTCATGGTGTTTATAAACACGATAGGAAAACTAGGTTGTATTATGACGCGTTTTATTTCTATACGAATTTGATATAGCAGCAAGGTCTTTTACGCTCATATAGCTCATATAATATTTTAGGCATCTACCTATAATACAGATACCGTTTTGTTGGTCAACGTCGGTTACAAATGTTACAATACTTTTTGTACAAGACGTAACCGCGTTACTGATCCGCCGTAATATGTAGGTTACATCCTGTTTCATATATTATTATTTTTGTAAAATTTACGAAACAAAATATACAAAATGTTTATATAAAAGTTCTGGGACTTAGACTTAAACGCTAGGATTATTATTGATAATATATATTAGTCAAATCTGAATGTTCAGTCAATAATTATCATAGATACAAATAATATCAGTATGTTAATTTTTAGTCTACATAAACGTGCTCTAAACCTACAGACACCTAGTGGCACAAACAGGAGGTATAAAGGGGTTCAGTCCTTGGATAGTCTGAAACCTCTCAGTGCAGAGCCAGAACTCTGACAATTATATTTATTTAATATTATAGTGGGGCTTAAGCCCACCTAGGGTTTATTATAAGCTAATTGCGCCATTGCCCGCAGGGCTTAAAATAAAAAAATGGTAAACGACATTTTTCCATATGTACGTCGTTTTAGAATTATGATAAAATACGATTTTTGATGCCAACTACTTTGTATATAATTCTTGAAGGTTCATTAAAACCTATAATCATAATAATCTGTCTTTAAATTATATTTTCTGAATTTGATTACATTATTTTTGATTCAATATCGAAGTACCTGCACAATGAAGCAGATTTCTACATAATAGTTATTTATATCTTAGTCCGTTCTCTATGTATATGAGAATATTGGGGTTAATTTCATCGAAATATCAGGAATCTCTCACGCCCAAAAACAACAATAAGAAAGTAACATTAATTGAAATCGATAAAAAAAAAAAAAAAATCTAACATTTTTAATATTATATAATAGATACTTATGTTCTCGATTTAACTAATACGTACATACAGAGTTTATAGAATAAATCGTTATTACAAGTATTATAAACGGAAATTATTATTTTTTTTCGTCGCTGTCATATTATATACGTTTAATAACATGGATATTTTTCGTAAGTCATCGGATTTTTAAATTACTCACTTTTACTATAACACATAGTCATCGTATACATTACACATTAAACATTTTGTACTTGTAACGACAACCGATCTTTTCGCTATTGCGTCGTGTTACAAAACGACGAGGATTGTTATATAATAAATAATTTAATGCCGTGTCGTGTAAACTTTTCGAAAACAAAAATAATCGCCATGTGAAACATCGGTACGCTTTTCGGTCAGCGGAAATGATTACCGACACCGTAAGTTTATCGATAGAAACTTTGTAATATACGAGTAGGTACTACATGAAATCGCTAAGATTGGATAGTTTGTTATGAATACTATTAACGCAGTTAAGTTAATTGAAAACATTTTAACGAGTTAACGAGCGTTAAAAGTTAATGATTTGTATTAATAGTTAAGTAAAAGTTAATTTGAAAACGTTATCAACACATGGACACATTAATTATTCAAAAAGTTATAGTTTTTCGAAGAAAATAAAAATAATATAAAATACGAGTTTTTGTACCTTTGATAATGATTTGAAATTTGAATATCTAGAGAATTGTATAGAGGTTTTATTTACATTAAACCAATTTTAAAAGGCTTTTCGTTTGTTTTACGTGAACACGTTTTTGCTATATTGTCAGTTAGAAAGACAGAGACTGCAAATGCCACTGTAACGACCGTTTTAACGCCGAAGTTTTGGAAATTGCGTCTATTGAAAAATCAATACTATCTTGTGTCCCGTATGTAATATTATAGAGCTCGAATTTTAACGCAGTGTTTTTTTTTTTTTTTTTTTTTTTTTTTTTTTTTTGTACTGCTCTAAGACAGGACAGTATATTCGAATAGTAAATAATTCGATTCACGATATAGCAGATATTGGCAGGTATTTAAAAAGCGAAACTTTTATTTTGGATTTTATCGGTTTTTTTTTTTTTTTACAAATATTTCACTCGGTTGAAGCGTATAACAAATACGATACGCGAATTATTTTCGTTCGATATATGAAAAATTTCACCACGCGTTCTATATGATGCCGGCGAATGAGGACTCTACAGTATCCTTTGTCTTAGACACTGTTCAACAAAAGTATCATTAATTATTATTATTATTGTTATGTCGAAACCAAGCGTATGTTATTCATTCGCCATATAATGTGCCATGTGTCCGCGTGTACACCAATATTTAATACGAGTTTACATACTTTTTCGTACGGTTCGACATTGGCGCGACGTACGCCGTAATAATATAATGTACGATATTTTGTAACTGCAGCCAATATCTTATTTACAGTCTAGCGTTTTTGAAATAAATTGTATTGAAAGCACCGAGATTCGCGTATGCGTCTTTGTTTTCGTTGTGTATAGCGGCGTCTGCAGTGGCGATCGAACGGATGAGAGGAGGAGCGAGGGGGACTATACCCCCCCCCTCGCTGCCATCACGCGCAATAACCTCTTTGCCTTCGATATTTACAAGAATCTATATATACTCGTATAGTAAGTAGGTTACCTGTATACTATTTGTTAAAAAGAAAAAAGTAAATATATAATTATAATAATAATAGTTGTTAAACGAAGATAAAAAAATTCAAAAACACCTCTTCCCACCCTCCATCCACCTCCGCAACAAAATCATCTGACCTATTAGGTAGGATTTCATTTTGGGAGAATTAGTAACAACTATATTATTATACCGGTAATTCGAGTATCTATCGATTACGGTATTTTCAAATTAGGTGTAACTGATTAACTTTAACAAAAATACAACAAAACAACAAATGTCAGAATGAAGTAATTGATAAACGATTTACCGATCGTTAACAATCGATATCCGAGTTCAAAATTCATAACATGCACGGTTTCAGACTATCGCAGTACTATAACAAATAACTTGTAGAGATCCAAATCGGGACATATTTTATTCCTACTTCTATAAAGATTTGCACGAATTAGATCTATAATATTTACAATTTGTTGAAAATTACGTCAGCGACCCCAGGACTTCGAAGACAAATAAAGGGCGCGGTTGTTTAGTAGCCTTTTGGTATTTTAGATTATTTCGGGGATTTTTTTTTTTTTTTTGCGTTAAGGCCGTTGAAAACCATTCGTTTTTTCGTGCATTTAGACCGATAAGCTGGGCGTAAAATAAACAATATTTCTGGTAGTCCAATTTCTGTTTTGAAAAATAATTCGACTCCGTATACTTTTTTTCTACGGTTCAAAAGAAAACATTTTCATTTTTTTTTTCTTCGGGAACAATTTTATAACAGGCATCGCAAATGGATATCGCAGGATAGGTGCGTTTATATTTAGCGGCACTTATTATCCGGAACATTGTGCGCGTCCGGCCGTTAAAACGATAATTTTCGAATTTTACAAAACCGGAGAAAATCCGGAAAACCGTTTTCGACCCGAAAAACAATGCCCGCAGACAGTAATAATAATAATAATAATAATAATAATAATAATAAAAATAAAAATTATAATAATTATTATTATTATTGTTACTAATATTTTACCGCGTTTCCTGCGAGCTCGGACGACGCGTGTGTCGACCAGCTCACGCGACACTGCGGCGGCGACGGGGACGCGACGACATTGAGAGTAAAAGTGAAAAATAATGAAATGGAAAAAAAAAAAAAAAAACCGTTACCGCGAGGCGGCGAGTGGGAATAATAACAACAACATAACATTATTATCGTGTCGGGTTGTCAGCTCGCCGCGACACACGGCCGTACCAATACGTAATACACGTCTCGCGGTGCCGGACCGTAATTCTGCGCGCAGTGCCGCACTCATATTACTACGGGTACCGTACGACCGTTGTCGGTCGCCTGTAAGCGATAAAACATTTTTTTTTTTTTTCCGCGGCGCCCCGCGTCTCTTCATTCCGTCCGGTTACCGCGTACGGTCCGCCGGTGCGCCGCGATCGCGAAAACGAAAATTACTATCAAGTACGAATTATACGTGCGACGTTCCCGCGTGGCGACGCGCGGCCGTTCTCCGCGTACCCGACGACGGCGGCCGCAGCTGCTGACCCAATCGCGCCGAGACGCGGTACGCGTGTTGCCGACAACCGTGTGTGTGTGTATTTTTTTCTTTTCTTTTCAGTTCGTACCGCGCTCCATTTTTCGCGACATGGCGGCTCGGCGGCGGCGCTCCACGCCGTCGATGGCAGGTAATTTTCGCACCTTTTCCCCTCCCCCCCCCCCCCCTCCATGTACCATCCATCGCCCCGCTTCCGACTTTCCCGGGTTTCAGGACCGCGTTACGAGTTTACCGGGCATCCGGTAGTCCGAAGGGCCCCCGCACTCCCGCACTATATTCCTAACCGACGACCCGATTTTACCTCTTACAAACGACGGACATAAACGAAACGATTGTTCAGAATAATCTCATTGAAAATGTTTAACGTGTTAGTTTGTCCGCTATGACGTCCAATTTTCACTCTATACCTATATTATACAATAAATATGATTATTAAATGTACAAAATAAAAAGCCGGGCAATTTAGCACGTGGCCGCAGCCACTGTTGTAGGCGAGAAGTTGGGAAGGTAGTAGAGGTGAAATTTAAGTTTATATTATGTAATCGACGATGAAACATTGCTAACGAAAAAAAAACGATTCTGAGCGGAGTTCAGTTGATAGTGTTGCTTTGTCAACAATATATATGCCATACTATGGTAAATTAATTACATGGCTACTGTATATTTTCTTTAATAATATTTGTTTAATGTTGAATCTATTTTCCCATTTTTCCTACGGTTTTCTTGGTTTTCCCATGTTTTTTCCCGGTTTTTCTCATTTATCGAGAAAATTCCCGAGGAAAATCAAACAATTCTCAAAGTAACTTCACAGTCCGATTTTCTCTCAGAAAAAATGCTACACTTAAAAATTCGGAGATTTCTGATAGAAAAGTTTTCCATAGAAAAAAAAAATAAATATTTTTGTAAAACCATATAAGCTTCCTCGCTCCACTAAGAATCTAAAATATTATATTTCATAACTAAATTACTCGCTTCTTTTTCATTTTAAAAAATAGTTAAACTAAGTTATCTTAATAAAAAAAAAAAATTAATGAAATAAAATTTATATTTTTAAATAAATAACTTGAGTTACACATTTTCAGGAAAATTATTTAGGTTAAAAGTTACTTTTTTAAAAATAGTTTATTATACACTCAAAAACGTATTTTATAATTATTTTTATAGACTATTATTATTATACAACACTCGTGTGGTTATTACATATCCTTGCATATGCGTATGCCTGTCTTGTTATATGTGAATACAATAGGTCCATTTTGAATCACTTTTGATTTGCAATTTATGAATTATCGTTGTTTTACAATATATAAACTAAATTGCCCTCAGTAAGTTCAGATGCACGTCTCTAAACATTTAATGATTTAAAAAATAAAATGCAAATGTACCTAGCTCGTTTAATATTATTATTGACGATCAATTTGAGCGATCCGTAAAAGTTCACTTAACCGTATACGAATTATTAATTTCAAAAATAATATACAAATAACGATGGGGAGGAATGGCCTCTTTGCCCCCCCTGGCTACGCCACTGGCCTCACGAATAAAAGTTATGAAAAACAGTGTGATATTAGATCGGTAATTGATAATATTTCTGAAAATAACAATAGATTTTGTGGCAACGAGGTTATAGGTATATTATAAAAATATGATTATGTCTACAAAACGATTTTCAGCGACATTTCATTTTCCAGTAATTTGTGTATACATTTACTTGCTCGCATTATTATCAAATTATTGTTTTTTTATTCTTTACTACAGTCTATAATAGTCAACTAAAGTTTAAACAATACTATGTTTTCATTTTTGTCTGAAAGACAGCCAGTAAGCTGTTAAATGACGATATTTTATAAATCTTGGAATCTGAAGAGCCCCTAGACACGAGCAAAACTGGGGGACCCTGGCCGCGTTCGTGGTCTAGTGGCTAAACTCAGGCCGACATTGGTTACTATAAATACTCAGTGAAAATGTTTAACTGAATTACAACAATAAACAAAATCGAAAATAACAGAAATCGTTGTATTGTGCACATTTTCCCGTTTTCTGACATTTCCCTCGGTTATTTTCTATTATTTGGAAAACTACAAGGAAAATCAAAAAAATTACCACTCCAATGCACGAAATAGACGTGTTTTTTTTTTTATCAATAAGTGTGGTTGATAACTGGATAATGATTTCTGGTAGAAAAGTTGATAACAGACAAAAATGGTTTGTTGTAGCAAAACCAAAACTAAATATTGCATAGTGAAATATATTGTCACAAAGCGTTGCTGAAATCCTTTGTAAATTAAAATTTTTCCAGCCACGTTTCTGTTGTATGCGGCGGCGGCGACCATCGTCGCTTACGGTGCTTCCGAACGGGCCAACGACTCAGCCGATGTGACCAGGGTGGTTCAGTTTAGCAACAGCCTGGTCCCTCCTCTGTTCAAAGTGCGTGTTTTTTTTTTTTAAATTTTAACCTGTTATTTCTATTGTCGTACATACCGAATTTATATGTTATTACGTAGCATTATTCCGGTGGCCGAGAAAATCTGGTTCTGGCACCGTTCGGGGTGGCCACCAACGTGGCTATGATGTTGGAGGGCCTTCAGGGTCGAGCGGCCGACGAAATAACAACGTTGTTTAGGTTACAGGCCAAGGACGTGCGTCAACAGCTACGAAGAGGTTTCAAAATCATTTTTGACACGTTCGGGGTAAGGTTTTAACGATATTGTTGTTAAAAAAAGAAAAATTTGGTTTTCAGCGTTTGACAATGAACAATTGTGGATTGTACATTATTATTATTATTATTATTACATTATTACTTAATATATCATTTTTAATGATAGTTTTAGATTTTTTTACCCGACTGCGCGCGAAAAGGAGATTAAAATTAAATATGTTCCAGTAGGTTATTTGTATTACTGCAGTCGAGACCTAATTCCAATATCAAGATTTCATTTTACTTTTACTATAATTAAAATCACGTATATTACAAATTCTAATACAACCCCCCTCCCCTTAAACGTATATTATTAATTGCGTGTTCAATGTATTTACATTTTACGTGTATATAATGAACAACTTAAATAATATGGTATAAATATAATTTTTCATTAAAGCGAGCCTCCGGTTATAATAATACAATATGCTGACACAAGTAAAAGTCTTCTTGTTTACTAAATAGTTTTTAGTTTAAATTGTATTATTGTAGTCTTGGTTTTGTTTTTTAAATTTTTTAACATTTTTGCGCATAGCTAAGCAATTTATTTACTATATTAACTCAGTCAAGTTAAAAGTTAATTTAAACATTTAACAAACTTAAATCAAGTTTTTTTTTTTGTAGAATAATTGTTACTGTTATAGTAAAAATAATTAAATTTGGTGTTTGGTATTTTTTTTTTTTTGAAAATATCGATGATCAATATTAAACGCGAGAGTATGTTCGGGGAATATCAAATTATACCTAACTCTGAATCCCGTTCAGATTATTGACTAAAAAAATAAAAATTGTATTTTTGATGGCATATAATTATATTAGTGTACAGATTGAATATTGTGTTAAAATTAAAAGACATTGAAATTTACTTAACGCGATATAATTCAAATTTAACTCGTTATATTTACTTAGTTAAAACAAGTCAAGTTTAAGGTTAGAATTAAAGTAATTACTAACTTATTAATTAGTTAATCTCAAGCCTTAAGATTTGCGTTTCTGTTACTTTAACTATATCTTAGATATAATTACAGATCTAAGATACAAAGGTGGCCAGTATCTTGCTCATCTCATCCTATAATATAATAATTGGTCTAGTGGCACAAAATTAATTTTTTACAAAGGTGTCAAACGTAAAATTGTTTATAGATACCCATTCGTCCATTAAAGTTTGTGCAATTTTAAGTAGATACCTAGATATGTTAGGTATCTTGGTTTAAATCATAATAATAAACATTGTTTGAACCATGATGGTAGAAATATTTATTCTATTATTTATTTTTAAAGGGTGTCCGGACGACATCCAAACACCTTTGGAATTAATTACTGTTCTGGTCGTAGCGTATAAATATTGTATTATTATATCTATCCAAGTTAGACGGCGCCGTGGTCGTCGGCTTTGTTTGTTAAAAAAAATCGGAAGAACGTAATGTTAGGTAGGTAACTAAGTTATAATTAAAATTAAAATACGTTTGATATTGTATTGTACAGGATGATTCGGACGGTGATTTTGCCGGTTCCTATAACAAAGCCTCTGTGACCAGCTCTCGGGTGATGCCGTCGTCGTACATCAATAAACTATCGAAATATTACCGAGCCAACGTCACTACGATGCGGACGGAAAACTTCAACAATACTTCGAGTAAGTATCGTCGAAAAACAATACAGCGTAATAGTGAAATTTAGTATTTATGCATTATTTTAAGAGACATTTTTATTTCGTTTCTCATGATACGAGATAGCAGTACCAATATGTAATAGGTGCGATGAATGATACGTAATAATTATATCGCGATTTTCAATAATTTCGAAGACGCTCGATAACTACAAGTCTTGTTATAAGTTTAACGGCATTTAAATTTCATATTATTTTCTCTGATATTTTATACCGGATTAACAGGTTTCGAGCACATATATTATAATATGTGCAAAGTTTGTTAGTATATTAATATTCATCTCTTCGGTGTAATGCCATTATTATGAAATAGGTGTAAATATTATGTTTTTCTTTATTATATTAGTACTATTGTAATACTTTTAATCATATTTATTATATTTTATCTATTAGGTTTTTGTTTTAGCTACTGATTTCAAAAGCTCGTTGTTAATTTCTCATTAATGTTAACGAAAAGTTTATAAACAAACTGTTGTGACCAATAAAGAGAGTCATTCAAAACTTTAGGCTTATAAATAAAACAACACGCCGTGGTGGCATTGTAAAACTAATAAGAAAGAACTCATCGTGCAGTAACCTTCAAATATAAAAAAAAAATTAATTTATTAATTATGTTATTCCGGGGGTCGGGGCCTCATTATAAGGAGAGTATCGTCATTGACACTTTTGACAATTTTGGTATTAAATTTGCACTCTATTTAACCTAGATACCCTATAAAGATAGTTGTTAGCATTACAAACCTCAGGGATAGATCCAAGAACTAGCAATCAATTTGCTATTCCAATTTAATTTTGAGTGTGCGCTACTGATATGAATATTGGATAAAATTTGAAAATCCAATCCATGGATATTAGATGTGGATATAACAATCAGTACTGCACATTTTACGTTCGATTACTGTTTTATTAGTATATAAGCAGCTGTCCCGCCCGGCTTTGTCTGTGTAATAAAAAAATGTTTGAATAAAATTAATAGATAAACTATCAATATACGCTATTACCATATATATACCATATATACCCTCACAACATAGACCTAACAGGAATGCTTGAAAATTTGATAAGAGGTTCATTATAATTCCTTCTTCGTGGTAAGAAAAAAAATGTAGTTTAATGTAGGTAGTAAATTAAATTTAAATCTATTTTTTTTTTTTTGTTCAATATACTGATACGGACAAAGCAAAACGGGAATAGAGGGGAAAAAAATTAAAAATTAGCACGGGCAACGCCAGGAACGAGACATAGGAGCTAATATATATACATATAATAAATAAGGATTTGAGACTTACAGCACTTAAAATCAACAAAAAATGCTTAAAAAGCGATTGATTATATTATTTTACATCTAATATTATTGGTATTGCAGTAGTGATAATAATTTGTTGTGATTTATTTCTAGATGATATTTTAGAGTTACGTAGTGACACAGGAATAATAAGTCATTGGAAAGATTACCAAAAACTAGCTACGTACACTTACTTATCGTATCAATCATCGGCACCGTTCACCAGAGCCGACGGTTCGATCGTATATGTCCCGATGATACCACAGACCGGAATGTTTAAAATCGGATATGTACCTCAACTTAAGTGTCTAGCTGCCGAACTCATGTTTGAGGTAACGTGTCATAATAATATTTTATATTATGCAAATGAAACATTAGATTAATAAACGACGACGGTCGGGTTATTAATTATAACCCGTCATTATTATGACGTTGATTGGCCTGCGACAGTTAATAATTTTATACCTATGTTAAATGCGTAATTTTAACAATTTTAAAGTAACCATATTATGATAATACACCGGGTGTAACAGGACTATAGGTATATTTTATTATAGAATGTTTCTGCGCCTATATCACGTGACGATTAATACAGTTATAAATTCATGTTCTTTATTTTCAATATGTAAAACTAATGGCACATAGGAAATTCGTGTTTTGTAATACCCAGCGATTTTCCACACTTGCCACAATCACTATACCTTATACCACTACCATGGCGTCTTAATAACAAATTAATAATACATTTTGTAATTATTATATTTTAAATTCATTGTTCGTGATCTATGGTTCTAAAGTCACACCTTTAACCACTCACAACCTATCCACCAATTTTGGTTGAGGTACAGGCCTCAAAAAAATATTCTTCGGTACGTCAAAAAACCGTTTTACCATAAAATGGTTTTTTTTTGTTTTAATATTAATTTTCCCGTTGTCTACAACGCAACCTGCTGTTTCTATTTCTCTTTCACGAGTTAAGCACGCGAGTCAATATTATTTATTGTCTTAACCTTGGTATGTATTGTATTATACTACAAATATAATATGTGTATTGAACACGCAGAATGTACTTTACGAGCTGACAACAAAATATCAAATCAATGACACTATATATAATATAGTATAATAATCTTTGTATCGAAACGCATTTCATGCGATTGAACACATTATTAAACGGAACGTGTGTCCGCGGCAATCGAGTCAATGACAAAACACGGTCCGAATGTCAATTTAGTAACGAGCAATGGCGCACCAAAATCTCCGAGACAGCGTCAATAAAAGACACGTCGATTTTTAACTCGCAGAAAGGCCGCGAATACGTCATTTCTCCTTAGTTTTGGCTACTAAATCGACAGAATTAATTATTGTATACACGGAACCAACAATCCGTGCGCATGGTTCCTAAATTTATCGGATTGATCAACCGGATTTTATCGGTTTTCTAATTACTGCAGCGTCTGAAGCTACTGAACAATCTATCAGAGTGAAATAGCTATAATAAGTAATCAACTGAATACTGAATGACAGTATCAAAAAATGAATATGTTTCCTGTTGATAGGACATAGATTTGATAAAAACTGTTTCATGTCAAATTTAAAGACGAGTTTGATTATTTTTTTTAACTATTCGTAGATTGGTTCAATAATGTCGTATTCCTCCGATCTTCCCTATCCATAGGAACTTCCTTCAATTCTTTATAGAATCTTTTTCTTATATCCGATACAATTTGATTCATTTATAATATGTCTGTCCTTTTTCTAGTTCCCCTTACGTTTTTCCTTCATTCATAGATGTTACCCATATTATATTATTCTTTATGGGATATCCTATCAATTTATTTCTTCTTTTCTCAATTATTGTTTGTATCTATTATGGTTGATACCTCCTTATGATATACTTCTTCATTCGGTACTCGTTTCGTCCCTGAGGTATTTAACATATTTATTATTATATAACGAGATTTATCATATTTGTGGTGAATAGTTTTTTCATTTTAAAAAGCACCTGTTTTGCTTGTTTTATTATTTATACCAATTGGTAACTAATTGGTATACTAATTATTTTTCATTCGTTTAACTTTTAATAACAAAAACGTGTTCCTAAACTTACATCCGGTGTATTAAAAATATGAGTTTATAAACTTTATATAGCTGATATTATTGACTGAAGTCAACTTAGTCGTTAAACTAATAACATAACCGTTGTATCCTGTATTCTGTTTTCTGTATGGTCGATAAACACCATCTAATAAGTAATAATACATTATTGGGTGGGATTCCTTTCGATCAAAATACAGAAGACAAATGCCCCGGGATTTCTTAGCTAGGTGAATTTATGAGGGTGCCACATACATTTAAAATTATAGCTACTACAGCATTTCATATTTTTTTTTTTTGGCCTTGGATTCCAAATTACTTAACATAACGGTTCTGGGTGTAACAGTCGCGGTGTCGGCCGGTGTTTGTTTTTCGTTGCAGACGGACAAAGTGAGCATGCTGATCATGATGCCGGACGACGTGGCCGGATCCGATACAATGGTGGACCGACTGTCCAAAGAAAACTTCCTGGACATTGTGGACTCACTGGGCTACCAGGACTCTGAGGTGCTGTTGCCGCAACTGGCCGCGTTCACCGACGCACTGGACCTGGAACCGTTCTTCAGAAAACTCGGCATCAAAAACGTGTTCGATCCGCAGATGGTCATCGGTAACAACCGCGCATCAAACAACACCATCACACACACCACCAATAAGTCTCCCCCTACGATCACGTTGGTGTCGATGAAACAGAACGCTTACTTCTCTATGTCGTTCATCACTATAAACTCAGTCGGTTCGGCCGGTACAAAACTAGGTACGTGGGTCTTTTTATTATTTTCGTTTACATCTTTTAGGTATGGTAGGGTGGTTATGGTCACTAACCCCACGAGTGAAATGCACTACTACAGCGTAACTACTGGGTTTACACGAGAGTGGAGCTACGATTGTAGTTTTCGAAAGCGCAGCTCACGGTGTATGATCTTAAGATCATACACGAACTTTCCACGGCTGGTACGTATAATATCAAAAATTTTTGCCGTTTTTGGACATTTCAATCATGAAAGATCAATCGTGGATACACTAAAATAGATACATATTATTATGTTTATTGGTTATTGGTTTTATTAATCATATATTTATAATGGACACGGTATTTACGTGTAAACAATTTTACGACTCGGGTGATGCTTTTCGAAATCATATTTGTGAGTTTTGATTCATGAAATTATAATAAAATAATTCATGGAATACGGTCGTGGGTTACGCTCCGTGCAAACCCATCTTAACGGATCTTACGAATCCGTTCAACCGATTTTTTTTAATGAATATTAATCAAATATTAATTTGCTCAGTAAGAATATCTATGTAGGTCGCGGTTTAATATATGTATAAATAATAGTGTACAGCGGTGTCGTTTGGTTACTGTTTTAGGTATTCGCCCGTTTGCTCAGAAGCAAAAACGGAGCATTTCTGCCAAAGTAGTATTCAACAAGCCGTTCGTATTTTTCGTCTTCAACAAAACTACCGGACTAATTATGTTGGCGGGGAAAATCACAAATCCCACTCAAGTGCCTTCTTGACAAACTCAAGAATTAAACAGACAGTGAATTTTATGCTTATTATAGCTTGTATATAGTACCTAATAATACCCTCATACAAAATTGTTCATCTAGGTAATAATAGTAATAATATTTATCTATTTTATTTTTATACCAGTAAAAGTTATATTTATTTGTATGTATAAATCATTAAGGGCCTCTAATACTATAGCAAATTTTAACTCAAATCATATTATATCATCTAAACTGATATATCTACCAAATTGCAGTCTGATTTTAGATTTCGTATTCAGTAATACATATTTATATGGGAGTGAAGAGTATATTTAATATAGTACATAGATTATACGAAACATTTTTTAAATTTTCATTTAAATTATTATTAATAAAATAAAACTGTAATTGATAATTTTCGGATTTCTTCAAAATCTTATTAAATTGGTAAATATGTTTCGCATGAGTTAAAGAAGCCTCTTATGTTTTTTTTATATTTTTTTATTATTTTTTTTTTTTAAATAACGCTATAATTATAGATCTGCGTAGATATGAGATATTTAATTATTTAATTATTATTTTAATTATTTAACCTATTTAAAAAAATAATAATTAAATGTTTAATGTGATTATTTGTTATTATTTTGTTATATAATAAAACGAATTTAATATTTTTTATTTTTTGGTTTAAGTTAAAACTTAGTTTCAAATACAAAAAAAAAAAAATTAAAACTTATTCATTTTAAAATGAGATATTAAATCGTAAAATAAGATTTATATCATAATTTCAGTTTTAACGATTGTTCAACATTAGTTACTAATTTAAGCTTATCTCGTAGTTTCTTCTTTTTTTCCACCAGCTATACGTGATTTGATTTGAATACATTAGATCCATCGCCCTTCATCTCTTCAGTTCAGTTAAACTTTAAGTTTATAAATAATAAAACGGTTGTGTTCCATTACTTTTTTATGCATGAATATATACGCGTATATAGCTGCTGGATGAATCTTTTTGGACATTTTTCGTTTGACAAAAAAAAAAAAAAATGATTATAAAAACTTTCTGTAATAAACTTTCTTTATTACAATTTTTCTATCATCTGAAAAATTGATTTTATAAAGTTTTATTTGATTTAGAAACAAATATCCCTCTAGTCGAATAAATCTATTTACAGATATATTGCTTATATTTATTGTAAATTGTAATAACAAACGAACACCGTGCAATATAATATTCAGCCATTAAATAAATTGAACTCTGTAAATAATCTCTTAGCAAAGACCTCGATTTGTATACCAAGAGTCATTGAACTTGTTAAAACCCATTATAACAGACGTCATGCCAAGTAATAGATAGACCATTCAAATCCTCTCGTCGAAATTATGTCATCTTCATCTTCAAGAGTATAAAATCTTACCTCGCTAAAAACGTTCAATGTCGTCTAAAACGTAATATAGCATTAACAATTAACACACAACGTATACATTATACGTAATATATGGAAGTCATTGATTTCCAATGCGGGCGCTGTATGTCGCTCCGTTGTAGGAATTTTTAATTTGCAATTTTAAATTGACGGCGGAAAGCGATTAATTTTAAAAATCGCAGAATTTAAAATTCTAACACGCGCATATGCATACGTAATTCATTACCGCGGATTTAAGTTTATTGCACTAAAAACAATTGTATCCCCGAGTTATTTTAGTATAAAATCAAATAAAAAAAAAAAAAAGAAACATCAATCATTTAAACGGGTCATAAATAGCTCAAAAATATGAATATCGTTAAATCTCACGGATTGCTGAATGTACGAATGAAATATCAAAGGTTCAGCTGCTATAATATCGCGAGCACTCATCAATATTCTCCACACCGATTTTTACAGACGCATCCGTAAAGTTATTTTATGTGCGAGTGTAATAATAATATTATGATAATATCAAATCGGACATTTACGACGATCGGAAAATAAATACTGCGTGTCAAAGTTGGAACGTGTATTTTCGTTCGAGGGGTTGCTGGTACCTATTGTATTTTTACTATGGGATTGCACAATGTGTGGCGGCGGTATATACCTTGGGGAACATCGAATTTTATTAAAATAAATAATATGTATTGCCATAAAATACTTTTTGAGTTTACTTTAATATACAATACTATTTTATAAATATCTGTGGTATTTTGAAATCAGTTGTCATTTGTTGATATAAGAGTGTTATCAGTTATCTATTTTTATCTCAATTATTATCACCAAAGAGTTTTATAAAGTTTCATATAACCTCATTGAAAAAGTCGACTATGAGTCTGTCTTTCGTTACACATAATATGTTGATTTTAATATATATCACTAATGTGCGGTTTATACATTATACGTCTATGTGTATTATCATCGTTTTTTTTTTTTTTATCGCGCATAATGATCGTCCCGAATGACGGCGAAACAAATCGTTTATTTTTCAGTTTCGGCGCTCTAGGATAATCGTACCCCCGGATAACTCACACCCGCGGTCGATCTCACCCCTCCCCCGGTTAAGTAATATTACCCCGTATATCCGACCGCAAATCCGATACTTATACCGTAGTTTAATTCCACTGGCGAGAGAAAATTTTTCAAAAATTTAGTTCATTATTTTTCGGATCGCAGCACGTTTTTCATAAAGCCACTGTAGTCGTGATAAATAATAAATATTAATCTTACGTTATAATATCACCTGTACAATGAAATATTAAACTGATTTTTCTGATGACATAATAATTTAATGAAAAACACCGGTGACGGGACGCAGAGCTCCGTCACTTAATCAGTCGAATTTTTCGCCATGCTTGTTGCTACGATATTTTTATTTTTTATTTTTTAAAATATCTAAGAATATGCAATTTTGGCGTACAAATTCTGGTTTAAAAGTCGAAACTACCGAAAAGACATACCTTATATAAGTATATAAAAAAGTATAGGTACATATAAGTAAATATACTTCACTCAACCTGATTCATTTGGAGCGTCAGAAGATGTCCAAAGCTTAACAAAAAACCTCTTCTGCCCCTAAACTAGGCTGAAATTCTGATTTTATTCCCATTTTATCACTTCAATCCTCGAATCCGTAAATACAAACAGGGAAATTCTAATTTCCGAGTTTGAGTTTATTTGGTCACATATTTAATACGTTGTAACTGAATTTAGGGTGTCAAACTTTCGTAGAGAAAAATTAAAAAACCGTTTTCAAACCGAGAAATGCTTGGTAAGTAGGTATGTTATATACAAAACACCGAAGAGTTTTAATAGAATTTATTAATCGTAAATGATTGTAATTACTTCAAAGTTTACAGCTTGAATGGATGAAAACTTTAGTATTTCGAAATTGATTCCGTATTAAATCCCGTTTTACTGAAAACTTTTAAAGTGAGTTCTCTCGGCACCTATACCGCGGTGCAGCATATGCGACAAACCGCCAACTTTCAAAATCAATATGTGACCTACATATACCTATGTGTTAGGGATATTTATGTGAGTCCTATTTCGTAATAGTATTTTATTTCAGTATGATAACATGTGCTCCCTTATGATTTACATTAAAATTCATATCGGACACGATAAACAATTTACCTACAATTTAAATTGTTTTCAAAATGATATGTAATATTTATTTATTTTGTTTTTGCGTTTGATTGAACGATTACCTATGTTTGTGACTATGTTCACAAAATGTTTATCAAATGTTAATTTTACCATTTTCGACTATAAATGCCATTACTGCATAAAAGTATTATAAAATATAATTCCATTCAACCGTAATACCTAAGTAATAATATACAACAGGTTTTGATCAGTATCATTTCGGTTTCGATATCTACTTTAAGTACCTATGTACCTAGTTAATTATCGTCAATCGACAGGCGGAAATAATAACTGTTATAAGGTGTCTTACGAGATATCGTTTTTATTGTAATAATTCGATACAAAATGTTTAATAATTAGTTTATTAATTTCGAACGATATTCACCATAATACTATGGTGAGGGATATAACATTATACCCCTAACAAAAAAGAATAATAGAGCCCATAGCGGTTACTGAATGCATAGCCTCGGTAGCGCAGTAGGTAGCGCGTAAGTCTCATAATCTTAAGGTCGTGAGTTCGATCCTCACCCGGGGCAACCACTTTTTTGCAATTTTTCTCGACGGTTTTTCTTAAAAGAAAATATTTCAAAATTAATTATAATCATACTCGAATATCATAAATACGAATATTAATGTTCAAACACGACCAACCTATGTAACAAAAATAATTTTTAATGTAGTAAATTAAAATTACAAAATGTGTATTTTAATAGAAACTAATTTCACAACGAAAATAATATGTTGGATTTTGAGCAAAGCTAGGAATTTAAGTGTTAAATTTATTATAATCTATTTTTAAAATTTTTTTTGTCTGTAAACAACTTTTCGAAAAAAAATCTTGCTCCGATGTATAGAGTGTAGTATCTACTTTTTCTGAAAGGAAATTTCGTCCAGTTAGTGCATCTAGAAGATTTCCTCATTTTCTGTGGTAATTTTCTCTTCTAACTTTACCGTGCTGATTGTGATCTCTTATTGCGTAACGTGTTATTCCATTGAAAACTATCGTTTTTACACCGATTGTCTATACATTAAAGCCCCTACAACTAAGAAACTATTAATCGGATATGAATGTATAATATATTAAAATTTTAGAATTATATGTTTTACAAAATGGCTTTTATAAACATTTTAAAAAATGAAAAAATAAAAAGTTATTTTTTCAGTGATTAAGGGATGAAAATAAAAGTTTAATTTTTCTCTCCATATATGTCGCTCTTGCACAAAACCCGGTTTAAAAAAAAAAGAATTTTGACAGAGTTATTACTGGAAGCGGTGGTTACGTGAACCACCTATATTCTACTACTTTTTACTATTTCACTTATAACGTTATTATTATTATGCCATGTTATTTATTTCTGTATATCATATTTATGTGTTTGAGCCTACCAGGCGTTAATTCAATAAATACATAAAATAAGGATAACACTGTTGGGCTTCCTGTGTTATCAGTTCGCGTAATACGTAATATGATTTTTATGTTCGAATTTATGACACAAGACTTGATGTAAAATCATTATTTCATAATTCTCATTTGAATCATATTCATAGGCGTAACTAGGTCTCTGAAATAGAGCTCCCCCCCCGGGCTAGAGCTCCAGATGTTTTTTCTCTCATACCAATTCCGAGCAAAACATTTGTTAGATGAGTTATTACTCATAATATATAGGGACTTGGGTTTTTGAACTTTTCTGAAATGTATATATTTTTCAAACAGTTCACACTTTAGATTTATAACCGTATTACGAAAATCGTACGTTCCTAAATTGAGAGTCTCAATTCGAGACTATTAATAGTCCCGTGAAATACTTAATATAGAACAAATGTAAGGATATATGGAGTATTATTATTTTTATGAGTTTCAGTATAATACCTACGACTGTACCTATACCTATAATATGACGTATCGTTCCGTCAGTAGGTAAGTACACCGTCGGCCGTTTATTTCTGAAATCGAAATCCTCTGATATTATACATAATATAGTATTATCGCCCTCGTAAGATATATATTGCGGCTATGAAAGTAGCGACACGTTTTATACTTGTCTTATACTTTTATTATGTATTACACCCATTTCGGATCGAATATTTTCTAGCCCGGTGTTTCTCAAATTTTTTAAAGTTATCGCCCTCTTAAGGAGCGGAATATTTTTCAACAAAGAAGAGGAAGGAGTATCGGAATTGTAAAATTTAAAAACAGATTGAAATACATTTTAATGAATAACTAAAAATTAATTTATGAATTTTAAAACTACCCAGCCTAAAACAAGTTTACTGCTGACCTACACTTTACCGTTTAATCGCCCATTTTTCGGGGAGTGTTCTCACACATGTTGAGAACCGCTGGACTTAAGCTGTTGCTAAATCACAATTTATAATAGATAATAATTAAAGATACCTATGATATATCGTTCTTCGTGCCGAAAAAAAGAACTATTCAAAAACGACATAAAATATAAAAACCTCTACCTGACCCTCATAAATTCCTCGGGGGAAATCTCGCGGATTTTCGTGTCGTAACTATCCGTGGATGCCGGGAAGTTTACGAATAATTTGCATTATACTCGTATTATAGTATTATACACTTCCTAATCTGCAGGTTATTCGTCTACCACGGTTAGATGAATTTTAAAATACGATACAGCAGTTTTCTCTAAAGTAAAATATAAAATGTCGGAGTTTTTTACGTAACGTTATACGACCACCAAAATTAATATTTTAAAAACGATACTAAACTGCGTACGCGAAAAAAGTGTCGGGTTAGTCGTTTGAATTCATTTTTTTTTTCTTTCAACTCAGATTTACCTCTAAAATTACTCACACCCGGCAATGTGTAAAATCACCATTTTATTCGTGTTAGTGGATTTACGGGTGTACCACTATTGTAGTTAAGAAGTTGAAAAAGTAAGGGATTCATAGAACTATTTAATTTAAATCTGTAGGTAATGATAAATTCAATACTTTTTGAAATATTAAGTGTTTAATGATAAAGGAATCAGCCAGTATATCGCTGTATTTCTCCATTTGATTCAGACACTCGATAGTATTGTTATGACGACAGATATTTAAGGGTTCGCCGGGTGCAAGAAATCTTGTGATTCGGTAACCGTTCTCGCAGTCTACCATAAATTATTTTAAGTACCTTGAACAATAATGCACCGTATCCCAAACAGTTTTACAATATTTCTAAGTTTATTGTGACCATAAAAAGGTAAACGATAGCGATTCATGGAATTATTACCTGTGTAATATAGGTGAGACTTTTACAACAACCTTTGTAAATATAAAATACTTATGTAAAAAAATATGTCCATAAAGAATCGAAGGGTAAACCTATAAAACATATAATCTGTGATTCGTATCGAATTCGAAATTTGTTCTGGGACGATCATAAATTAGACTTTGAACCTTGAAACTGGCGCGTTGTTAAGATTTTTGAACACCTAAACCATATGCAGAAGTGAGAATAAATTGCAAAAAAACGCTGAGTTTGGAATTAGTATTAAGTACTGGATATCGGCAGGTATATAATTTTAATCGAAAAATCGAGAAAAAAAATGATACAGGTGTTTAAAATCAAAATTGGAAAATTCGTAATATCGTCATCATAATGTGGCATGAGTAATTAATGTCTGGCCTGACAATTTTATTCACATAGAACCAAATAAAAGCTAAAGAGAACTAGAAAATGTCAAATATATAGTTTAAAAAACGCCAACATATTTTGAAAATGTTTCCATGTCTAAATAAACCTATTATAAGTACTCTGTAAAAAGCTCTTTTGGCTCTTTAAGATTATTTTCAACCGAATAACAATAAAAAAACTAAAATTTAAAATATTGAAACCGTTATTTGCCGTAAACTTTCTGGTTATTTTTAATTTTTCTCGACTGTTAAAGAGACTTCACGGAATATCAAATGTATCAACTAGACAGAATTTTCTTTCAGATGCTCTACTGGAAAATCGGAGTAAGAATTCTGGTAGGTAGGTTATATACAAACCAATAGGTACATTCCTCACTGCGCTCAGAATCCAAAAACCGATACCGGTGATAAGGTATTAATAATTAAAACCAAAAACGGAAACAAAAAAAAGCATTAAAACCATTTAGAACGAAATATAGTTAAAACCTTGTGTTTTATTTAAAAACATAGTACTTAAATCGAAAACATAATATTGTTAGGTTTTACGCGAGCATTGAATAGTGATGGAATTTGTTACATTGAACCATTCAAGACTCGATTAGTTTATACTAATTTTATTATTTTCGTGTTATTTGCTCAGTACGATTTTCTCTGTAAAACCATGTACGAGTAGACAAACGACTTCGTTTATGTAAGACGCACTTGGGACTATAATAAATAATCTAAATTATGAATGAGACTTAAATTATTAGGTAACCTATGTTGGTTTTAATTCTTGAATTGAGATTTGATTTATTGTATTGTCTCGTTAATAATTTAGGTAGGTATTTTTTTTTAAAACATAATAATTGGCTGCAGATTATCATTATTTTTCGTTCTTGTCGCATTCGTCACTGTTTCATATAAATATATAATATGATGAAGATTAATTATTGTTATATTGCAACGATATACTCGTATATCCATTGTTAATTACTTTGAAATTCGTGTCTGAAACTCGTACATAGTATTGTTCAAAGTAAATTCAAGGAAGGAAAATATGTTATTATTACAGTTTACCGAATTTAAATCTAAAAAGGTTTAGCTGGTTTTTTTCTATTTACAATTCATGCTCGTCAATATTATGTGCTTACCTAAATAGATGTAAGTTGAACATATCAAGTGTTTTTGTATTTTTTATAAATTAGCTAAGTATCTTGATAATAAATTTCAACAAATTTAATTCTAGACATACCCATAATCTAATACTAATTGGCATATTAAGGGTATCACATTTATTTACCTACTTGTATTAATACGTGTCAATTTAATATTTTTTTTATAACCGATTATAAATTTACTACATTTTGATAACAATATCATTTTTTTCTATTCTAAGTAAGTACTAATAGTAGGTACCTAGACACTTAAAAATATAGGACAAGATTGTTCCTGTCAAAAACATTAATAAATAATAAACATTTTTAAATTAAAAAGCAGCAGTCTATTTTTGTAGAATTCTAAAAAATTAGATTTTTGTTTAAATTTAGCAATTATAATAATAATATTATGTTTCGAGCCAAAATTCTATTATAATTTAAGTTATATAACATAAGATTACTAACGTACAGGGATAGGTCAAAGCATCCTATGCCGTACAATGTTATAATAAAAGTAAGAAAAACTTAAAATTAGAAGATAAAAAAGAAGTAGGAATACTATATTTAGATCAAAGACTTTGTTTGATTTATTATGTGTTTAAAAACACATGTAATTAATTTTTTTAATGTATTCGCTCTTACCGTATTCTTTTCTGGAACATTTAGTACCTATATGTAATTTTATTTTTTAGTTGTGTGGAAGTTATTATTATAATATCGCCATTATTTATTACATTCGAACATTTACATCGAGTGTGACTGTCAAAATTTTACTAATGCGTCTGCATTTATTGTCGTCATTTGTTATCGTTTTATCATAGTTTCATACTTTGTGATGCGGACAATACTCACGAAAATTGAAAAAACTGACTATTAAATTACCTTAGTGCCATTCGTCCAATCAATAATTAATAACATATCCTACCTTAAATGTGAAAAATCGACGACATATTTTCTACCCAAAGAGATTTGACCTCCTAAACGTAAAATAAATAAAGCATTATTTAAAACATAACAAATAACCTCCTTTCATTCTTTTGAGAGAATATAATAGGTGCCAGAAAAGAGGTACTGTATGTATCGAGGTCATTGTAAACAAATTGAAATATATTATGATAGTTACATGATTGAAATACAAAATTCGTTTACATAAAATCATTTTATAGATTTAAATAAACAACGACTTGGAAATATTATTGATGAATCGATCTTCGTGTCAGATTCGGTTCTAGCGAACAAATGCAGATCAATATGTTTGTAGTTTTCAATTATCATCACGATTAATTATTTTATTTTGTGCATAGGTATATTATTAATTAATATAAAAGTTCATATTTTAAAAAACAATACAATTCCATTATTCTATATGGGTATCTACTATTTATATATTTGGTGGTAGGTGTGCTACGGGAAATGTAGGAATGGACGAATAGGTATTATACGGTATGCAAATAAGTGTGAACGATTAAATCGCTAAAAGTTGGAGAGTAAAAAAAAAACAAAACAATAACAACCATCATAATCTGTGAAATATAATAGGTTTCTATAGAACGATTTTATATATAATAATTTGAAATATAGTGCATTTTAATATTATTTTATTTTTTATTTATAATACACGTAAACAAATGTACACGCGTAGAACTAGGCATAATAAAATATTTAATTTTGGTACACAATTATGTTACTAACAAATATTATGATAATTGATGCTCACGATTTCCCTGCAACTACCAAATTCTCATCAATATTACTCGTACGATTTTCAAATATGCGTTGTAACTACATATAGTATAGTGTCACGGTAGTAAGTAGGTATTATGTAATCCGCATTTGCTGTTTTCAATTTTTGTCTACTCCGGCATTATATCGGATATGTAAGTATAATATTATAATGGAAGACTTGACGGTGTGTTATACACTTCAGTTTGATAACACTAATTTTGTGGGCGCTACTTGTAACAGCAATTGTATAAAAACTGTCCATCGATCTGCGGAAAACAGAAAGAAAAAATTACTACTCGCGTACCTTGAATATTATGATATAATATATTTAAAACTAATGAGACGATGTATTGTATATATTTTATAAGTATGCCATACTAAGGTTAATTTTTTTTCGGACTCACCGATAATACGGAATTTGTATCCCAGATGTACAAACGGCACGTAGAATAACATCCCGGCGATCATAAATATCACAGAGTACAGATATTCGATCTGAGGTTTATCTATTATAGGCGCCACCACCAAATAAATTGAAATAACAAATATGATTAACGGAATGATTATTGGGACCTGGAAACAACAAAACACGTATAAAGTGATTAGTTTTGCATTTGGCGCGTTTGTCGCATAATATACATAAAAAATTATTTTGTCATAGGTATTCACCACGCGTGGTTAATTAACGGTTGGCAAATGTAATTGTTTCGAATAAACATAAAACACAGTAGGTACGTATAATAACATGGTCAAATTGCGTAAATATTATTTGTATAATTTAATTTATATTAATAACGCTATATTTAGGTATTATATTATATTGTTGTATTAAACCATTAAAACTTTTTCATAACACCAATTTTGTAAGTTTATTAATAGGTGGTATTTTTCATGTAAAATATAAATTTTTTAAATTACACCGGATTAAAAAATTGTGATTACCATTCAAATATTTAAACACATTATTATTAAAGTTCTCGGTGATACAAAATATCCTTGCTATATAAAAACTAATCGACAGTTATTTAGTATCCTTTCGCGAAGAAATATGGTTTAATGTCAAAATTATTTACCTAAATAAAGGCACCTAAGGTGCATCGCGTTTAAAGTCGATTAGAAAGGGATCGAGTTTTTTTTTTTAATACGCATAGGTGTAGGCGCATCTCTATTCAATCTCCAGGGATGAAATAATAAAACATGATTTACACGGACTCAGTATTATCCACTCACCAAAAAAACAAAAATTAACTGTTTTTAATATTATAATATGTTCAAATGTCTAATTACTTATTCTAGCCACTCGTCCGCTCATAAAAAGTGTTCGAGGGTTTACCTCTGTAGACTGCATTAAGACACCAAGATCGACGACATATGGGTGTTTGCCCCGGAATTTTGTATACGATTTCGATTAAACGGTGTGTAAACATTGCAATACAGATACTTATGTATTATCAAATTATAGGTACTCTATCAAAATCTCAAAGTAAAGTTCATGTCGTATAAAAATACTGAGCACGGCGAGAAACACTTTCCATTTGTTGGGCTTAATTATTCGCGGTGATACATCGTTTGTATGTATATAAGATATCAATACATAAATCGTCGAATTAGAGAAAAAAAACTTTTCATAAATCACTTACATTTCGAAATTATTTTTATACCTTGTAAACACCTGCAGAATACAGTGTAAGTTTCTACAGGTCAGAGGTAGTCAACGTTTTTTTGGTAGAGATCTATTAAGAATATAATATTTTTCTTTGAGGATAGACTTCCAAACGTACATGAAAAAATATATAATTATAAATTACCTAATAAGCATTAATAATAAACATACATGCGTTAAGCTGATAAATAATAATACAACTAAAATGTATAGTTAAATAAGTTTTTCTTCACACTTTTATTAAGACTGATATAATATGGTAAATACATTTACCGGTGTAAAGTTTGTTGGATTGTATTACTTTATGAACCGACCACAAAATAATGATATATTAAGATAAAAATGATCAGCAATTGTGATTTATCTACTAATTATACATAAATAAATAAATTCTAACAAAAGGAGATCGACCTTTAAACCGTCCGTGATCTACCGGTTGATCCCGATCGACCGTTCAGTCACCCTTGCTTAGATGTATACCAGTGGTCTTCTACCTTTTTAGACTCACGACCCATTTTTTTAGGCGCACATTATTCGCGACCCACATAAGGCATACATAAAGAAAAATGTTTGTAGAAAAACAAAAAAAAAAAAATCTAAAATTACTTAATACTTTGTAGTAGTACTGTTATAACTGAATAAATAAAAATAAAAAAAACTTTTTAACGGATACGTAAATATGACTAGAATAATAACACGACTAACAACTAATTTGTCTTTAAAAACAGCGACAACATCGACAATGTTCGTAGATTATGGAACTCTTTAACGAAAATAATATAATATTTATTTTATTACTAGCCCGGTTAACTCGTAAATTATTATATTTAACGTCATACTACGTAGAATCATACCAGTATATGAAACATATACTGTGATTTAAAATCCATTGTACAATTATATTTTTGAATATAAATTTCATAATATTGTTTATACATAATATATTACAATAATTTTCAAACTGTATTTTCATTTATTAATTTTCTAAATTTAATAATTAAACAATTATTTGTATACCTTATACAATTTTATAAACTTAATTTTTCTTTTAAAAAGAAAACTTATCGTGACCCAATTTTTAAGCTTACGCGACCCAAAAATGGGTCGCGACCCACTGGTTGAAGACCACTGGTGTATACAACGTAATACCATGTGGACACGACTTTCAGCCGGTTTTATCGATTGTCGTACTCACTTTATACGGTCTCGGTGCATCGGGTCTCGTGTACCGCATCACCAGTAACGCCAACATGGCGCTTCCGTAGAATATCCACGCCGTGAAACTGAAAAAGTCGATTAGCGAGTTGATCGTACCTGAGGTGACCATCATAATCGTTATGATTGACTGAAATCAAACACCGGCAGCTCAATATACTGAGATAGTAGTAATATTATAAACAGCAGGACTGAGTAGTGGCTTACATAGGAATTTATTATAGGGCTATGGTTAAAAAGGTATCTGCATGGAACATACATTAAAACACAAAATCAATTTTGGACGTCGATGACCTAGTCCGATGCTATTTCAATGTTTCGATGACACGTCAATAGCGAAAATGAATAGAAAACAAAAGTTAGATATTTATTTTATATATTATGTAGTAGATGGGCAGTTGTAAAGTTAGAATATACAGGGTAATTTAATTGATATACATATGCAACGATAAATTATTGCAAACGAAAAATCAATTTTGTTTGGAGTATTATGTTAGTCGTATTTTACCTCTTATTGCAATGCCAAGTAACCTAGAAATCTAAGTAATCTAAAACGTGGTCTCCGAGGGAAAAAAAACACACCTTAGTAAAACTAATAGTTTTTTCGTCACTTCGTTGTAAGTACTTAAAATCCTTTATCTACAAAATATTAACTATCGAACATATGACTGAACGCTGTCACCTATCCAGCCCATGTAATATGATAATAAAGTGTGTAGAAATCGTGTTGTTAAGTACGGCCAAAGAATAATATATAATATAATGTCGGTATATGGGATGTCGTACTTTTTAAATCGTGATAAGGATAACTAATGACCCGCGGAGGAGGGATTGATCTCCCTCCCATAAATACACCACTGGGACCGAGTAAGCTGTACTCTGTAGCGATGGGATTTTCGATTTTGGAGAAAAACGCGTAGAGCAGAAAATGAATACGAAAATATTATCCATATACGCATGATATAATACGAGTACGTTAAGGACGAAAAGTAAAACGTGCAGCGTGGGAGATTTATAATACTTTCTAAAAGTTAATCGCGTTGGATAATATTTTTATGATAATTAAAACGAAGCGAAAAGATTTCATTATACGAAGTGTACTCGCGGAAATTGTCATGTTTTTACACAGCGTCGTTAAAATGGTTTTATATATCCATTTTTATATATCCATTTATCCATTTAAACGAGCATATCATAGGTAAATCGTTTTCCCAATTTATTTCAATTGCTTTTTCATTCTCAGTGCGCAGGTATACGATACACGGATATAAAATCGTTTATTGCATAAACGTACACTTGGTTCATAACGTAAGTTATGCAAATAAAAAACGCTATTATTAAAAAAAAAAAATGCTTACAATATTTTTAATGTTTTATCACGAATAAACTAATAATAATATCTAATCGTATAATCAGCTATATCGATTTTCGAATAGCTGCAACCCGTACAATTTTAAATTGCGATTTATAGAAAAATGAATATATTTAAAAAAAAAAAAAATCGATTGTATATTATTACTATATACTATATAATATTATATTATATTGTCGGATATAACGCGTTTACGATAGTTTATAACAGTCTAAAATTAGACTGGACGAGAAGTAGAGAAGGGTCATCTATATACCCTATTCTTGAATATGAAATTTATTACCCATCCCTAATTCCCGTCCGCGATAAAATAATTACCATCTGCATATTATATAATAGAGGTCTTGATTAATACTATCTACACGTATTTACAGAATCCATATATGTTCGTGTAAATGAACACATCATTTCATATTTCATGATGAATTTATACTATATTCGTGATGTTTTGAATATAATTTTCGCTCTAGCAAGTATGTCCGAGTTCTTTAGATTCGGCATTCGAAAATATTTTCTACATTTTAACACTAACGCGTATACGTAAAATGAAGGGGGAACTGCATTAGTTCTATACAGCAATTGCAACAGGGTTTAGGGAAGAAGAGTACTGGCCCTAGATGCCAACATTTCAAGGAAGAATCATAATCTTTTAAAGAATCGTAAAATAGTAATTTTACATTATTAATTATTAGCGTAAAAAATAGATTTATATAATACTGATCATAAAAATAGATTAAATGATTATTATGATTTGCATACAATTTACTTAAATACATAAATTTGTATTGGAATTTAAGAATTTTTTTTAGATTCTGCGAGAAACGAGGGACACATGGGTTTTATTATAATGTGTTTTTTTTTTGTTGATCTGTAAATAACTATTCCATAAGAAATCTTGTTCCAATCAAACGTTTTAGTAATATAGTAATTTTCTTGTAGCATTTTTGATCTAATTGCAGGTAATTAGGGAAGTAATTTTTCGATTTGTGTGTAGTTTTCATAATAAACTGAGGAAAACTGGCAATTTGTTGTACATATATTATTGATTTCTGGGTTGCCTTAGCAACAAAATAAAAAATACGACGTATTTGCTCACAATCGTTTTTCGTTAGCAATAAACTTATCGTTGTGTACTAATATAAGTTGAATTACTCTGTATATCCCTTCTAACTTACCTCCTAAAACAATAGTACACCTATCAGCTACAGCATTAGATTTTTTTTTTAAATATTAACCTCATCTTACATGAAACTCACTCAATTGCAGGGCCTAAAATAGTGTGTCTTAAAGCGCAAAGTGCTACACAAAACTTAACGAGTACAACTTAAAATTCCAAAAAAAAAAAATCGTGTTTTTTATGAAAAAAATAGCTATAGGAATAGTGACCCAGAGTGCCAAAAATGTAAATACGTCACAGAACTACAGTAGTGCAGTGGTATATTATAATAATATAATGTTAGAGGTTTTTTCAAACCGTATTAAACATGCGGTCAACGACGTGCGTCTGATGAAAGACAAACCGGACGCGCGCTTGCGGTGCCACCGGCACTGAAAATCGTCGACATCACTCACGTGAAATATGATGCTTGGCATGGGCGTGAGCTTTTTTATATGAATGTACGACAGGACGTTCATTAGGTGACCTTCTCGGCTGGCGGCGAAACACAGTCTTCCAGCGGCGAACAAGGTGCCGTTGGCCGACCCGAACGTGGATATCGTGATTGACAACGGTATCACCCAGGCGATCGGACCAAGCGCCCGGATTCCAAAAGTCTATAAATAAAAAATAAAGTGTATACAGGGCGATTAACATAACGTATATGACACTATATTATTAAATCGGGAAAGTATAGACTTTTTTCGAAATTCGTTTATTAAAAAATGAAACTAAGTGCTTTAAAATGTTTCGTTACCGTTGTTTTTCGTCACCTATATTTTCGGGGATGAAACCATCATTAGGTGCCCACTTTTCGCTATTTAAATATTAACAATTCCATAAATAGACATAGTTTTAGATAAAATAAATTTCAAAAAAAAGTTTTTAATTTCCGTCAACGAGTTGACATGATATTCCATTTTTGAGTTTTGGATTTTTGTGGGTAATGGTTTCACCCTTGAAAATAAGGGGGACATAAAATAACGATAATGCGACATTTTATAGCTACATGCTTGTTTTTTAAATTATTTAGAAACACAAATTGCGTAGAAAGTCAATACTTTCCAAGACATTGAATTGCTTACATAATATTGATCACTCTGTATAGTTCCACATGTAATGTACCAATGTATAATTATAATAATGACGAGCTCACAGCTATAACAGGTGTTATGAGTTCAAGCATCGCGTGCGAATTGGGATAATTGGACGAGAGGATTTTTAACGTTTCTAATATTATTATAATAATATATTTGTTATTTATGAAGAGGAGAGCTCATGGGGGGGGGGGGATAAGGATGAAATATCCCCNGTAGAAAGTCAATACTTTCCAAGACATTGAATTGCTTACATAATATTGATCACTCTGTATAGTTGTAATGTAATGTACCAATGTATAATTATAATAATGACGAGCTCACAGCTATAACAGGTGTTATGAGTTCAAGCATCGCGTGCGAATTGGGATAATTGGACGAGAAGATTTTTAACGTTTCTAATATTATTATAATAATATATAATTCATATTTATTATTTATAAAGAGGAGAGCTCATGGGGGGGGGGGATAAGGATGAAATATCCCCACTGAATATTTTTTTTTTAGTTGATATATTTTTTGTATAGATTTCTTGTAATTATCGTATATTTGATTGATACTTATTGTTTGTATGTGACAAAATTCAATACAAAACTACAATAATAAATTAACTTAATTTTGCAATTTTACGGTACAATCACAATAATAATAATATAACTAGCTGTTGAATCGAAAAAAAAGTTCATAAAAATATAATAGGTTAATGAAGGCAATGATTGGTAAACCATATAACTTGTGCTTGTGCTAAAAATAGGTTGTAGACTGAAATTTTAATTAATTTTTACAACCGAAATTTGGAATATTAACATTTTAATATCCCTCTCCCCGTGCAAAAAAGTTGTGTACGCTACTGTATTAAAGGTAGGGTACCTACTCATGCCGTCAACATAATACACATTTCATTTTTCGAAACGATTATTACAGTATTACCGTGTTCTTAATCCAAAAGTCTACTATGGATTTTCCCAGTATTATACTCGAAATATTATAATAATACATAGGTATAATTTTACGAACAATTTTAAAAATCGCCAAATTCCACATCATATTTTGTTTTAAAATCGAATAATATTATAATAATACAAACCACAGCGACGGCTTCATTTTGCATTATTTCGGCTGGAGACATGATGGTGAGGTACGCCACGTTCACCAAAAGATAACAAACGGTCACCAACGGTATACTGATGTATATCGCTTTTGGAATGTTCCTTAGAAACATGATAATATTATAAACATCAGAATTATTTTATGGGATGAGAGGGGTTTCCAGTTATATTTACGTAGTCTAGTGACAAAGATCTTAAATAAAAATAATAATAATTTTTTAATAACTAAGGTCATATAGGGGTGGTGAGTTTCAATCCACCTCTCCCGAAGATACACCACTGATAAACACAATGTCACAAAATACTATATTGATTAATAATTATAAATAACATGGATATTATAAGCATTATAGGTACTTATATGATTTTTAGTTAATAGTTATTAATTACCTATAATACACATAATTTATAAGGTAAATTTAAATTGATAATTAAATTAGGTAGGTATATCATGTGTAACCTAGTCTTAAACACTCACCAATGCCTCGATAATTTTTACTCTAGTAATTATTACGAATATATCTTATTTTCTGTACTATAAATTATAAAAATAAGTATGCTATTATGTGGGAAGGTATAAGTCATTACTTCGAAGGGTTTTTTATTTCTTCTGTGACGTAATTGAGATTGTTCCACCCGTCGTATGCCCACAATCCCGAGTAGAACGCAGTAGCCACGTCACCGATGCTCGTCGTCGTGTTTCCGAAATAATTGTAAAAGTGTTCGGTGTGCCCTTGAAAGATCTTGTGCACGCCACCGGTGACCACCACGAAAACCGCGACTAGTTTCGCTGCTGTGAAAGCGTTTTGCACCCCGGTGGCCAGGTTGACGCTGTAGCAGTTTATGTAAGTGATGACCACTGTGAAAAAAAAAAAACTGATACTGGAGACGGGTGCGGCCACTGTTGTAGGTGGGAAGTTGGGAAGTTAGGATACATAAAGTTATTTCATTTATATCTGTACGCAACGATAAACCATTGAATTTATTTGAAACCATGCATAATTTAACAACATAAATAGGGTGAGCATTGTTAAAAATCGCCCAGTATATTATATTATATCTTCATATTTATAAAAAAATTAAAAAAATAATGTATATAATAGTAGTTTTTAAAAATTATCCTTATCCCTCTCTTCCATGATAACATCATTTGACCACCGTTGAATAGGCGTGCCTTTTTTTTAGTAATTTGTGTATCCAGTAGTTTATGAAAGATACGCGTACAAGCGTAGTGGTATATTTTGGATTTTGTTTGGTGGGAGAGGGAGTGGTGTTCTTTAACCTCCTCCCGCTCAGTCTTACACATTCATCAAGATTGAGCGAGGTTTTAATCTTTAGGGTTATACGACAAACAGTCGTATGATAAAAGTTAATATCGAATATTTCTTTAGAGCGAATATCGGAATATGTGATACTGTAGTGATAGGTACCGTGTAAATTTACACACACTATCTACCTACCATAATCTTCAGATATTCGTACATATTTTTGTTAAAATTCATAAAAAAAGCCATAATCTGAAGTATTTGGTTAAAATTTACACTGTAAAATTAGAAATATAAGCTAATAATGTAGAAACGTATACCTAAACATACATAAACTTCTCGCTTAAACTTCGATTACAATACGTCAAAATTTTCAGAAAAATCATCTGATTGACAATTCACATTAAAACGTTAAAGTTTACATTTGAAAAACTAAAGTTGGTATCACCACTCCTAAATGATGTGAAAAATCTAAGTATGCATACATATCGTTTTTCGCTACACTTAAAAATTCCAAAAATCTAATTTAGAATTTATGAATAATTTACCCATAAAAATCGCTCATGCTTAAAAAATAACCCGTATGCAAATACATTTATATGCAAGCTCCTGCATGGATGATCTTTTTACTTGAATTTAAAAGATAGTGTAATTTCCTATACAGATCTTTTTTAATTTTTTATATTTAAGATAAGTAACGCTTATTACATGTTAAAACACACGTTTGCCTACCTATAATGAGTAAGTACAATGGTACAAAACAAAAATACAACAAAAATACAACTTAGTAAACATAATAATGTAAGGCATTGTATTGAAAATTCTTGAATGTACGATAACGTATGAAAATAGGGCAATCTCTTCATCTCTCTTGTCGCCGTTAAAGAGATGAAAGGCTTAACGCATTTATATCTGGATTACCGATCACCGAACGAATTTAATAAATGTGTAATACAATAAAATTATTCCTGATAGGCACACGTAGATCTCTCGTCTTGGTGTCTTGCGTGCACGTTATATTATAAAAAAAAAAATTAATACAATTTACATTTTTTTTTCTTTCTGATTTTAAGTAATACTTAAAATGAAAAATTTAATATTTTAACAAATACAAACATGTTTTTATACAGAGTAGTAAAATTTAAATGTATAAGTAATGCATTAATTTAAAACAATTTTTACGTAATTTCCACAATTGTAAGGAGAGTTCACTTTACTAAATTTAGTACCTATTATACTAATTTTTTTGGAATTTTACTAGTTTCGGGTCCCTATGTCCACAATCGGCGATCCTGCGGAAGTATGTTGCTCGTACAAAAAGTAATGTAACCCAATAATTTAGGAAAGATGCACACATACGCGATCTACATAGTCTCCAGACATTAATTATATACAGTTTTTTTTGTTGTTGTTAATGTTAATTAAAATACAGAAACACCGTAGTACGAAACGGTTAAATACTCAAGTGTTGTAAATAATGTTTTTTGCTTTTTTTTTTTTATAATTTCCCTAAACGAATGATATTGCACACGCCCTAAACTAACACTCTCCCGCTTCCCACTGTAGTCCATTATAAATTAGTGCGATAGTGTATTACTTTTAATATTTCAAGCACAATATCTTTTACTATATAAATATAAAGTCGACAATTCAAAACATCCATAAAAATATCTTGTTCAAAAAATATTATGTTAATTAGGTAATAAAATTATGAACATTAAAAATAATTAAATTATGAATTTTTTACGACTTGAAACGTTCGATAGGAGAAAACCGCAAGTCAATATTTTCAATATATATTCGAATAACGATATTGTGGTGGTTGAGGGTTATCATTGACATAATCAAGATTCATTTTCGGGGAACAGAGAGGGGGTATTATAAATTTTGAACAAATTTTTGGACAGGTTTTGGGCACAACCTACACGTATTTAATATTACTAAGAAATATCCGTAGTTGCAATAGAAATTATGAAACTATGTAAAACCCAAACCACCCCCCCCCCCCCCCAAAGGTTCTATAACTAATAGATATGAAAGAATGTTTATTTATTCATTGAGCGTTAAAAATACATTGCGCTTTTTTTTTTTAATTTACACGAATAATAACGTCAAAATAAAAAATATAATCAAACATTCATACACTGCATTTCACGCTGATTATATGAATTAATGCAATTTTTATAATTTTATTACTTTAGTCATACCCTCGTGTCCAATGTACGTATTTATATATACAATATTAGGAACTGGGAATTTGGTTATTCAGTTAACCTCTTACCATATGATGAATTTAAGTTCTAATATTCGATGATTATGATTTAATTGTGTAATAAAAAGAAAAATAAAGAGTATTTTAAGTAAACAAAACGAGCGTACAGTTTTAAAAGAAAAATTAAGATGATTAGTTAAAATCAAATGTGGGTTACATTAATAGGTTTAAACTCACGAATAGACAGAACAGCGACGATCTTCACTGCAAAGTCTGAAGGGCCGCAATCGTCGACAAACGCCTCGACTGCGTATTTTGCGAAACTTAAACATATAATAGCCACCTGAGATGGTTTGAGTATCAACGTGGATATCCACGAGAACAGGAATGCAGGCATTGGTCCAAAGGCGTCCATCAGATAAGCGTACTCGGCCCCAGAACTGGGATTCATAGTACCCAGTTCGGCGTACGCTAAAGCTCCTACAGACAAATAACATTTGGAAAAAAAAACAATATGTATAATATAATACATACTTTTTTATTTTTGAAAACAATTATATTATATATAGCTTTTTTTTTTTTGGCATCGACTGACCGTTCGTTTGAATTATTTTCGGTCCAATTATATCATGACTGAGAATAATATGTTTGTAAAATAATTTGACGAATGACAAACGTGTTCAGGTAAAAATACACGCGAAAAAGTGTCATTTTAAAAATAGAACAGTTTTTTTTTTAACGTTCTTACTGATTTTACTCACAGAAACCTAATATCACATAGCTTACACGTACCTAATAGTGACATGGCACCACATACTGTCCATATGACGAAACTCAGGCCTATTGACCCGGTCCTGATCAGCAGTCCAGTAGGAGAAACGAATATTCCAGAACCTATAAAATTTAACGATAAAATTATGATATTACGATAATTTATTCAAATTGCAAAAAGATATCAAAAATAATAACAATATGATACAACTTTGTTTAAAGTGTTGACTGTATAGTTAAAATTATATTATTTGCGTTATTAATTTATATTCGAATAAGTAGAATTTGTAAAGTAAATAGGTATACTTTGACCAATAAGATAAATACAATTTAAAAGTACGAATAGCAAGTTTTATGTATATTGTAAAAAAATCCAGTAGGCATTCTTGATAAAATATTAAAACAACGTTGACAGACTAAAAAAAAACTCGAAATTGCTTGTTTATTTTATAAAGCGCACAAATTCGATTTTAAAATAAATCTAAGAAAAATATATTAAATGATGGGTATTAATCGTCTTATATAAATAAAACAAGCATAAAATTAATCTAGCATTTAGGTGTTAATGTGTTAAATTTAACTCTGGGGTATATAACTTCGTTTACAGTAGATATTGTAGGTATTTTCCTTTCGTTTATAACAAATACATATTAAAAAATGCATTTTGAATGCGTTCCAAGTTTATATTGTAGTCTATACGACACATGAAGTTTTTTAATAATATTAGGTGTATAAAACTATATAATTGTTAATCTCACTGCAGATTCCAGTAAATATTAAATGTGAAGAAATCTTTTATAATAATCTTATACCTGAGTTTTTTTGTTTTAAATGTTTTATTGTTTTTGTCCGAAAGACCGATAAATAGGCCGCGATTGATGATGGCCGCGTAAGATGAAAAGATTGTGTAAGGAGGAATGTAAAAGTAGTGGACCCAGGAATTAATAAGAGGTTATTAACTTAAGACAGTGAGAGATATGAAGAAGAGTTTATTTTACGGAGAGGTTTTAAAGAAGTAAAAGAGGGTTTTTCGAATTTTCTTTTAAGTAAGAGATTATAGGAGATTATACATATTTTTTTCACTAGTTTTGAATCAAATTTTACGATTTCATTTTTTTAAGTATTTGCAGTATAGTAGTTGTAGTGTAAGGTAGTATTAATATAGCATTGTAGGTATTCTTATATAATATTCGGTTATTTATTATTTTGCAAAACATATTTCCATATTGGAAAATAGTTGTGGGGAAATAAATTCGATTCTAGCGCTCTGCTGTTAACGCGTAATTTTATCTTACATTTTATTGTTTTTATTTTTGCTCCAAAAAGTAATGTGTGATATAAAAATAAAAACATAATCATTAACTTGAAATTAGTTTTTTCCGTGTTTCTTATCAATACTTTACATAAATTTGATTGATTGTATGATAATAATTGGTAATAATAATTGGCGTATTAAAATAATAGTCAATTTATTTGTCGATTTATTAATATAAATCAAAACCACATATACGTAGATTGACAACTCAATATATAATCGCTGTACACTATATTATAGGTAATGTATAATGTAAATCAAAATAACAATGGCATTCGTGATTTGGCGTAAATTCGGCAAGTTATCCTGAAATCTCGTTGTACTATTATTCGTCCAAAATGTACTGACTTATTTTCTGATATATAATGGATGTTTGTCATTTGATTTATGGTTCTAGTGTACATGGCATTTGCTTTAATATCTACAACTCGTTTTAAATGATATTTTAATGTTGTATAAATTGTTCATTGAATACATTTGTTTTAATTTTAACGAGTATAATAATTTCAGAAATTGTTGGCTTCTATGTTCTCCACAATTATATTATCTACAGCTGTAAAAACAATGGCAAGTATACAGTGACAGATTCGTAGGAGCAAAGGGACATTCTCCTTTCCAAAAATACCGTAGGATAATGTTTTTTTTCGTATTCGTTTTCCCCTATAATACTGATTACTGGACCTAAACAGATATTAATAAAATCTCACATATTCATGTGAATCTCAGGTTTTATATCATTATTCATACGAATCGTATTTTTAAACGAGACATTTGATAACAATTTTCTTTTAGTTAGGATGATGTCAATAGCCAATAACAATACAAAGTTTTCCGTACGTTAGCCAACTTCTGTATCTTATATTACAATATAAATATAGTTATATTCTCTGTTCAGCTTATTTCATATGTAATTTCAATTACTTTTGTTATGTATTGTTTCTGTAATTTAAGATCTGTAATTTGTTTTGCTGTTTCAATCTCAAAAGCCACATGGCGTCTATTATATTGAAATAAAAACAAAAATAAATAGTTAATATCACAAAATTTAGTTAATGCAATTTATTAATATAACTGTTTACACAATATAATTCCATTATACTATAGCTTACGGGTTTTAAATGATACAAACTCTTATTACATTATTATTTTAGATTCTGAGTGGAGCAAAGAAGCTTATGGTCTTACAAAGATGTTTATTTATTTCATTATTTCTAGGGACAACTTTTCTACAAGCAATTTTGCTCTGATTTACAATGATAGCACATTTTCTGAAATGAAATCTGACTGGGAAGCTATTTTAAAGAGGTCATTTTTTAATTTCCCAGGATTTTTCTCTTCAAATGGAAAAGACCAGGAAAAACCGGAGGAAAATTGAAAAAATCAGTACAGCATTAAACAAATATTATTAAAGAAAATATATAATGCCTATACAATTGTATACCAAAATATGACATATTATTTATATTGTTGACGAATCAACACTATCAACATGAACTCCACTCAGAATCGTTTTTTCGTTAACGGTTTATCGTTAAGTTACATTGAATTAACTATAACAGTGGCTGCACCCGTCTCCATTATCTTAGGACAGTTTTTTTAATAAATAAAATAAATAATATTCAGACTTATTATTCGCGTGAATTTGGTCAATACTACGTCTTATAAAATAAATTTTAAAAAAAGTACTCACGCCAGAATAAAAGTAGACAAACATCAACAAACAAAATCAAAAATATATAACGGATTTTGATGTACTTCGATTTACCGTAAGTTATAACAAGATATGTGAGTAGGACAAGTTGGTTTATAGTAAAAAGTTTTAATAACGTGTCATTTTTAAACGAGTAGATTTTAATTTAAATTCCAAAAGTAATAACACCACTACGCCAAACTGTTGTAAGTTATTATTATTATGATACAGATATTTGTCAGAACCATATTTTTTAATATTATAATCTATATATTTTATGTAAAATATTCCAAGGCGACGTAAAATTAATTTCACTTCGCAAAAATATGCATAGCCTTATTATAAAATAAAATGCATCGGTATTGGTATCCACCTGTCGTATTTATATTTACAGATAATATTTTTGATCACAAGAAAGAAGAGCTCGAATCAATTTCAGAGAAAACAGAATACATAATACACAATTATAAAAGAAATTACCAAACATTTATTTAAATCCTTTTTCCCTGGAACTAAAAGGTCTTCTAAATTTTATGTTGCAGTCAAATTTTTTATTCGATAAATATTTTTTCAGAAAATGATTTTTGTAAAAACTCTGAAAATTTTGAATTTTAGATTCTGAGCGTAGCTATTGGTTTTACAATGCTGTTTATTTTTTTTTCTTCTTCTTTATTCTTGTCTGTGGACAGGTTTTTTCTTAGTAAACTTGCTCACATTCTTATGTGTAGCAACTGTTTAAAAGGATCATTTTTTAAATAAAAGCACTTAAGTGATAAAAAACGTAGGAAACGTACAATTTCATGATTTCGATATTTTATAAAACACGGACGATGTTTTCTACCAGAAAAAATGATTTAATCAAAAAAAAATCACAATATACCTCTTTTGTTGTCTTTTTTATTTGATTTCTTATGGTATCATCGTCAAAATCTTTGAACTTTTAAAGAATTTTAATTTTTGGGAGTTTTTTTGCTGTAATTTGGCTATAAATACACGTATAGACTTAAAACTTGGTAATAATACTTATATCGGACTTACCTAGATGTGGTACAATTTTCCAAAATCATCGGACTACTCTTTCTAACAAGCATTTTGAAATCAAATTTAAACGAAAATCGCAAAAAAAATTATGGCACTTGAAATTATGTATTACCGAACTGCGCTCGTATCGTTTTTCGTCAACAATGGTTTATAGTTGCTTAAAGATATAAGTAAAATAACCTTATGTATTCTACCTTCGCAACTTCCCACCTACAACAGTGGGTGCACCCATCCCTAGTATCAGCTCTTTTTTTTTCCTATTATGTATACCTTTATTTTCGGGAATGAAACCACTACTCACGTTTAATTTTCGAATAGAAAACTATATTGAAAATTCTATAAATAGATTAATTTTTAGTTTAAATACGTTTTGGTGTCGACATTATTAATGTCCGTCGACTCGTTGAAGTGATATTCTATTTTTAAGTTTGGATAGGAAGATAGTAATGTTACACTATATAAACGCAGCGCGTTACACCGTCTAATAAATGATGTTGGTCGGAAATCAAGGTGTGAATATGTTAAGTTCAAACGGTATCTTTTTTTGTTTTTATCATGACGGTCTAAGTATAAATTATAATTTTAAACGGGTTTTTTCATATGTTTTTCCCATGCGTCTATTTTTTAATTTTTTTTTAACAGCGAAATATACATAATCCTGACCTTAACCAATAATAACGTCGACACATTATGTCGTGACAGATACGTTACTCGGGAGTGAAATTATTATTACTATTAATGTACTGTAACGCTTACCGATCATCGTGCCCACGATTAGAGCCACCCCACTGAAGAGTCCCACCCGTCTCTCGAGGTAAAGAGTGTCACCCTTAGTTGATAACTTCCGCGCCAGCATGTCTTTTCCGTTGCCAGCAGTTTCGCCATCTCCGCCGCCGCCGCTCTCCTCGTCGTTCGTGTCATCGTTGCAGTGGTTTTCGTATCCTGTATACAGTATACAACAATATTATCGTGGAACGCGCGTCTATATATTATTATTGTAATATTATCGAACAATCGGGGAAATCCGAAAGAGGCGAGGAGAAGAAAAAAATAATATATTATAAAATATTTACATCACTCTAATACCGTTGATAGTTTAGGTATCATTATGCGTGTCGGCGAAGACAAACCATGTACGGATTATAATCTATCGTATTGCATTATATATATGTAAATTAAAATATATACAGGTAGGTACAGAAATATACAGCAATAATATAGAAACGCAAAAGTTTTCGATAGCGTCAGACAAAAGAAAGAAAAATGCATTTTTCTTCTACTGTGCCGTCGTCGTCCAATCGATCAAATTAAACACGTTTATACGCACAACCTTTACCCGATTACGTATATCTATACAGTAAATATAATTGAATTGAAGGTAACAGTGATAAATATCAAAATAAATAGTTTTTTCGTTACCGTTACCTTAATAGTATATAAAACCGAGCACCGGGCACAGATAACGTCGGATATCCGAACAATTTTCGTCGGAAATATATCACACTCGACGAACAACACTCTCGAAAGAACATTATGAATATATATTCAGTAGATTATTAATTTAAGGCACACATTTATATGTTTTTTTTTTAAATAAAAGGATAACACCATATGGTCATATGTGGAGGGAGCAAGAATCCATGACTAAAAACGTACGTCAGGAAAATCCGAGAGACAAAAGGTTGGTCAAAGCTTCGTTGGGAAAATTGTATTGATTACTATTGAGAAAGACTTTTTAAGTATCTTAAGAGAGAAACAAGGAAATATAGGCTGGAATCTGGAATCCATCCAGCTCACATTTAGCAGTAAATAGAGAATACTGTATTTATTCGGCAGAATGGTCTCAGTGGCCGTAAATGTAAAAATATTTATAAACTTATATGTTTTATTAATTGGCTAAAAAAAGTATATGTAGCTATAGTTACGATATGAAAACGTGTTTCATGGACCTATTGATTTTGTATAAAAAAAAATTATATATTGGCGTTAATAGGGCATATTTTAGGATTTTTTTTACATTTTTAGAGCATATTATATAATTATTTAAGAATTTGTTACATTTGTTATCAAAAAACGAAAACTACAAAATAATATTATTATTCAAGATTTATAAAATATCTAGCAAGTGAGCTCCAGAGAAAGTTTTATAGTACCCGTGTTTTAGATAAATTGTTATATACGTAAATGTAGGGAACATTTTTTTTTGTTTTTTGTATTTCCTTTTTGAGTTTATTTTGGTATAAGTTGTATCGTATAACCACGAAATACCTACTTATTTAAATGGTTTCAGGGCATATAAATATTTGCCCTAATTACTATCACCAGCTATATACTTGAATACGGCAAGCTTTATTGTTGTATTTCACGAAAATTTAGCGATGTTTTTGGCTCGACGCCAGCACACGTGCGTATTACCACACTATTATAATAATAATAATTTTACATTTGTTATTTTTTTTTTCTCAAAAAATGTTTTATTATTGGTACCTACGCAGAACAAGACGTTAACACGTCCACCAAAAGCGTGAAAAAAATTATAGGACTATTTTTAAAAGATTTTATGTTTGACTGATGTAGACGGTATACCTAACAATAATATATATATCATTAAACTCATCGGATTTAAAAATTAAGTACAAATAAAACGTAAAAGTATAATAACATACTGTTTTAGAATATTATATGTGATATAGTATACAGCCATACAGGGTGATCCATTTATCACGAACCAGCGATTTTTAAGAAGGATTTTGAATTTGTTTTCTGTTTTTTGAACATTTTTTTGAAAACCCTACGTAATCCGTGTACTTTAAATGCGTTATATTCACGCATCAAACTTCCAACAATTTAAACTTTTAATCGAGGGGAAAAAAAATGTCAAATAGCATTTATTTATCATTCAATCTTATTCCTTGACTGTATAACGTTCTATCTGTTCGTATTTTTTCAACACAGGTAATTAACGGACGAATTACGAAAATAAAATAATATAGCTGCTATTTGACTCGAGTTGTATTAAAAATATATATAAAAAAAAAAAAAATGATAAAAATAGCGAAAATAAATTAAGAATCCGTGACATGTAATAAATACGATACGTGCGAAGAGTACGCGAATTGAATGAAGGAAACACGAGCAAGTACGTGAGATATTTACTACTTATTATTATGCTTACAGAGCCGCGTATCACATAACATCCTTGTTCGCCGTTTTATAATAATAACAATAATATAATCACGGAGATTTCAACGGTTAATGATGATAATATTTTCCCGAGTCTCAAGGCTATATTCCAGCGACGTCGTGTGTTGCGGAGTCGTGCGCCTTTTGTCATGTTCTGATTGACCGCCGTTGTAATCTTAGTATCCAACATTCAATGATCAAGACCTACGACATACCGGAATATTTCCAGAGTTGGGCTGATTCCATCTTCAATCTTGTGCGATTTACAGTTGATTTTTCGGTGCTATCCCTTAATCAGCATATATGTCTATGCATAAGACACGACAAAAATAACTTCACTGGAATACCGCTTTCAAATCACCAAGTATTTTATCACGATCCCTAGACCGGAATCTAAAATTCTAAAAGAAAAGAACGGTGGCGCCGATCGTCTACATCCATAGACGAGGGAAAGAAACGATATTTATGAAAAATATAATAAAAATCATAGATGAATTCTAAATCAGAACGGAAAAAGATTAACTTTTATTTTTTTTCTGTGTCGGTGGTACACAAAAAACAAAAAAAATTTAAATGAAAAAATTGAAAAAAATGTTAAGTCCAATTCAACACACACTTACTTATACATATACTTATACTTATTGGAACGGTCCCAAAAGGTCTTAGGTCAAATTCTGTGGCATATAATATAACAGCGAAAAATAATTACCACCTTTTATAAATCATTATAAAAGGTATTCAATACACGCGTATTTTAACGATCGGTAATCGAATTTATTAATTTAAATATATTTTTCCCTTTTTCGACGATATCACACAAACATTATAATATTATAGTCGATCATGGTATTCTACGAGACCTTACAGTAGCCATGTGTAAACTCTCATACGAATAACCTTATAACTTGATTTCAAAAGATACTTGGTCTTTAAGTAAAGTAAAGCAGAGTGTAATCTTCTACATAGACTATTAGTTTACTTCCCAAAAACTGATGTAATCTCTTACATTGAATTTTTAACTTTTTGAAACTGTATAGATAAATTCACCTAACAGATCGAAATAAATATTAAAATTAGAAGCGATGCCGTAACACAACATAGACAGACAAAAACAATATCAGAAATTAATGAATATGAACAAGGAGAAATTTAATTGTATACTACAAAAATAAATGCGATTTTTGATTGAGGTTGAATTAATAATTTACGTATCATAATTTACAAAACTGATATTATTTTAAACAATCTATGTAATTTAAATCGTTTATTTTTGTATTGAATTTTTTTTAATTTAATAAGAGCTTGTGCAAGGAGCAGTAACGCTATATAGAGTAGTAGTTTAGACGATGTCTTTGTAGGAGCAGATTACTTAACTTTGTAAGAGTTTGCCAATATTATTATGCCGATATTACACGTTCCATATTCTGTTGAACGAGATAAAAACGAATCATGCCAATTCATATAGTTCGTTGTGAATGAACCGAAAGTGTGCAGGGAAAAAATATAAAACTAAAAAAGCAATCACAATAGAATACTAAAACCACTATAATATACTACTTTATAACATTGAACAACAACAAAAAAAAAGTTTTCCATTTATGAGAGGACTACAAACAAGATAATATTTTTTTTCTCTGCGATATTGTAATAGAATAGATAGAACCCATTACCGGTTTTCCGAATTTTCAAAAACGTTCTAACATTTTAATGGTTACTACCAATAATTTTCCATTTATCTATTGCTCGATGTCCATCTAGGAGAAATGAGTACAATATCCGCCTTTACAGACAAATATGATTTCACGAATACAGGGATAACTCATTGCTAATTTAATATTATTTGTATGGCATTTTTTTTTAACCGATAAACAATTACTTTTTACAGACCGCATTGAATTCCGAGATTTGTATTAGATTTCAAATATAATGCCATAAAAGTCTTTGAAAAAGCTTAAAACTGGACTTTTATTTTCTAAGATATAATATTATTATAAAGTTTGCGTTCAATACTGGCCTGAAGCTAAAGTCTTCCTCCTTCAGAACAAAAAAGTAATCGTCAACATAATAAGACTCATAAATTCTACGAGCTATAAAAGTGTTTTTCCCACCGGGATCTTTAATAAAAAAAAACCCTTTAGGGTGTACAATGAACCGCAAAAATAAAATTAAACGAGTTAGGAAACCCCATTCACGATGATCGTGATAAGCTCCCGGTTTCTAAACGTATTTTAAACAATAAACAATTTAGTTCCATCTACAGTTTTAAAAGAATTCGTTAACCTAGCGTATTATTGTGCTTGCGCGTGAAAACCTAAATGAATTAAAAATCGTAATTTGTAAATAGGTTTTAAAGTTCTTTAGGTATTACTAATATTTTGATTAAAAAAACAAATTTGATAGCACGAATGTGTAATAATACTCTTATAAAAATAAATAATCTATAACGAAAATTATTATTTGAATTAAGAACAGTGACAATAATGTTAGGAATAATGTACTACGTATACCTCCTTGTCAACCAAATCAACAACCGTAACTGTACACGGACGGACGGACGGAAACGGCGGGGATATAGGGGGTTTTAAAATTTAACGAAACGATACGATATGAGGAGAATAAAGAACCGAACATATATTATCGCTTTTTGTCATTACGCATACACGTTGTAAATAACAGTTAATGCCGGTCGTTTACGTCGCGACGAATATTATTAGGTACTAGTGAGTTTTCATCGAATCCCGAGCGCGATCTTTTTTTTTTCGTTTAATTAAATTAAAATTTTTTTTTTTTTTAAATTTCATACTGACCATGCGTCTGTAGGTTTCGTAGCATTTCAAGTAGGACGTGTTAGCGACAACGGTCGACTTGGGGTTTACCGCGCGACCAGACATGACACACTGGGCCGCAGACTGGGGGCCGCCGACGGATGGCCGCCGCCGCCGCCAAAAGCACGGCCTGTACGCCCGGCAGTACGCGTGCGTGACGGCGGCAACGGCGTTATATTATTTTCGGTTTGTTTCCCCACCACCCATTTCCACACAAACCACTCGCTCGCTGCTCTTTGGAGACGGTGGCGCGGCGACGGTCGACGAAACGCTTTCCGTTTGGGCGGCAAAGCGCCGTTTTATTATCGACACGAGCGCCGCGCGTAGCGTCCGCCAGACGTCGCGACGCACACTGCGTACACCAACGTCATAACAACAACAACACAATCGCGTCGGTTGGTCCGGTCGCGGAGAGACGCGCGCGAATAATACGACGACCGCGGTATGAAGACAAAACCAGCGTTTGGGTATGGTCGGTGCAATATACCGAACCGACCGAATCGAAAACTGCCGCGGGGGAAAAGAAAAGAACGGCGCGCGAGCAACGAATTGACGACCACACGGCGGATAATGGCCGGATGAAATTTGTCCGCGGCCGTTGTCGCCCAATAATTACTGTTTATTATCACCACTGATTTCACCGTTTCACCATCATTGTTTCGTCCGTTAACACCGTTCTTATGGTCAAAGCGCAATACGCAACGGGCAAAAATATATAATTTTTCATACCCCTCTAACGGAAGGAAATATAGTAGATTTTCCCCATGTGAGACAAGAGTACCTTGTAGCCCGGATCGGACATTTTTTCGGTTTGTTTAGTGGACGGTACATTTATTTCAACGTATAATATTATAAGCTAAAAATGTTGCCCCGCGATGGGAAATGTCCGAATATGGGCCCGGGCAACTATTCGTATACATTATAATATAGTAGAGATTAGAACATTTACTTTTTATGCAAGGACTTGTCATGTTCTGTCCCTATAACACGGGTACCAAACAGAATACCTTATATGTATTCGTTGTATTTAAAAGGATGTGCTAACTCCAGTATTTAAGAGGTTTTCTATAAGAAATTGTCTTAACTTTTTAGAAAAATTAAATTTTATCAATTCAAAAATATTTAAATTCCCTTTCAGATGCTTTCAATACTTTAATGATACTTCTGTATCTTCTTATCGAAAGAATTGTGAAATCGTTAAAAATGATAACGAAAAAAACCGTCTTGAACAGGCAAAAATTAGTCGGACTTAATTAAGAGTTGTTTGAATTTGTTGTTTTCTGCAGTTCCGTGTAACTGCAGATACTGCGTGTTACTGCAGTCACCCAAGAAGATATTATTATTATATTATCGTTTGCCGCTCGAAGTACATTACTTTTGATTCAATTAATTATTTTCACGCTAACAAAATACAACGATTATAATAAAACAGTCTATTATTATCTTATATTATGATGATGTTTCACACTTTTAACGACACTTTATTTAGTTCAGAACGGAAAGAATAAGTAGATTATTTAAATTTTGGATATATCGCTGTACAGAAATAAATACCGACTGCGCGGTTATTCGTTTCTATATATAACGACCCTGTGTTGATTCAATTAGTAAAGGGTGCCCACCACCTACGCTAAAACCTATGATGGAAAAATTAAAGGAGACATTGTCTACCAACGCGCTCTCCTGAAAAATACAAACACCCGGGATTGATTGTGACACAATCGATTTATATTATTATACTTAAGAGGAATGTATATTACAATACTTAGCGTTTATTGTATCAGTACAATTAACGGTTGACGTAGAAAAAGCACTTTACTTAGAATATAAATTGTGGCGTTCAAAGGTCGAAACGAGAGTTTAAACTCAGACAACGAAATTTTAAGTGAAGAATATATTTCCGGGGGATGAATATACTACTGTTTTTTTTTTTTTTAAAAATACTATTGTCAAACAAATGAGTTACAGTCACGTTAGTTTTTAAATAGCTGAAACTTATTTTAGAAAAACGGCGTCGTACTGCTGACGAAACTCTAATTTCCACCTATTATTAGACCATAATTTGTTTTAACTAACGTAATTTTACTATGTCACTCGTTAGTGTTAGACTGACGATACGGTGCATACGGGTATAGCTTCCTCTTAACGCAGCTATTATTTCTCGATGTCAATAATAGATAGGTACGGTAAACATTTGGCACGACTAAATGACGATCAAATGATATTCATCCTCGCATCCTCAGTTTATGACCTACACGACTACATTTTACTGTAGTACATTTTACGCGAAGCTAAATTGTATTTATTATATGAGCTCCGTGTTATAGGTAGGCTATTATCGATTCGGAGTCGTTGTTTGACGTTGGTATAAAACCGTTTTTGAATTAAACAATGGGCCCATATATTGTCGTTGCACTAAAAACAACGAATTAACGTTCACGGAAAGAAAATCAAACTGCTCGGGTTTGTTTTCTCGCCCCGCGTGTATACGACGTATTATTCGAACTATGTATATCCTCTATGGTATACCGTGCGTTAAGCGAGATTTTTTACGCGAAACGACACGAACACGAAATCGGTCGTGTATACAAACACTATTATACAAATGTATATTATACTCGTATTATTGTGCAAGAATGCGAATGAGGTGGCAATGATTTATCGCCAGAAAAAGTCCAAACTCCGAAGTATATATTATGTTGAACCAATTGTGTGCGCGCAGGCCAATTTATTATTATCAACGGTTTGAACACAGGGGCGGTCAAATGAAAAGGGGGGAATGAGGGGGATACATCCCTCAATTACCTAATTTTTCTTAAATATTTTTCATAATATCCAGAGTGACTCTTTAAGCATGCGAATTTTTCCGAGTCATTCTACTTTAAATATTACAGGATAATAACCGCGTGATTCAAAACAAGAAATTATTCATACACATTGAACAATATCAGTATTACAGTATCAATATAATAGTATCCAATCCTCATAAAAATGTGTTATTTATAATATTTAAAGCAAAACAACTCTGAAAATGTTCGTTCAAATTTCTATTACTATTCGTCAAAATTTTCAAAATAATCGTCTGATTAATAAATTGCATCAAAATATTATGTAAGTTCTTATTTTAAAAACCAAAGTTATTACCGTCACATTTCTTAAATGATGTAAAATATAAATATGCGAAAATATCGTCGTTCACTGCACTTAAAAATTCCAAAAATCAGAATGTAAATCTGTGCATAATTTAACCATAAAAATGGGGTGCGCATGCTTAAAAAATCACTCTGTCTATTAAATTATATCTTTATAGTTGTAAGAAAAAATTATGCACACAATAATAGTTCTGAACAAATATCTTTATCGACTTTATCCTCTTCTATGACAAAATCATTTGAACACCACTGGGTTTAATTAACGGTTTAATATTAATACGAGGATACGACAGTAAGTTATATGTGCGTGATTTTAGGAGATAACGAATGAATGAGAATTAAACTGTTAACGGACAATTCACCCGCGTGTTAAATGATTCGATGATTTTTAATACGCATACCGAATACCTTATAATAATAACATAATAATAAATTTACTATTTACTCGCACATAAGAACAATTTCCTCATTATGCAGCCGGCTTTAAAAGCAAAAGAAAATAGTTTCGTAACGGACAAAGTCATCATTATTGTAACATACCAACCGATGTTGTCGCAGATTACCAAATGTTCATAACTGTTGTTTTTTCCATTTTTTCCATTATGATTATGGTAAATCACGAACTATGATAATAATATATTTAGGTTATAACCTATATATTACTTTTTATGGGCACAACGAGAAAAATAAATCGTTTTATTTTTAGTGCAACGAATCGAAAAAAAAGTAAAGGTAAAAGGATTTTTGGATAAAATGTTTCCTTCACAAAAAACAAATATACTTGCTCGTATATATTAAATATTACGTATACAAGCAGTACAAGCAGACACGAAACCTAATGATATAATATTATCATAAAACGATGAATCGAAAAGATGAATGATGATAAGTAGGTATATAGTTTGAAAAAATTGAACGAAAATGTTTTGTATTATAATTTGATGACGAATGAGAAATTGGCTGAGTTTGCATATATTGTAATAGGACTTTGTGTCCATTTATTGTGTAAAAATACAAAATAAAACATTATATGCAAGAGAAAAATGTAGACAAGATAATGAATATGGTTCATTATGGTTGTCGAATGAGCATTTTTTTTTTTCTCAATAAAACATAATATTATATGAGTAACTGAAATATGCTTTTATTTCAAATATAATTAATGTTAATATCGAATAATTGAACTATAAACGTATTCATAATCATACCCGTAAAAACCAAACAAAATTATTTATATTTCTAATGTTTTATCGAAAAAAAAATTTTTTTCCTAATACGAAAATCATTTCAATGTGTAGGGCCTAAATAAAATAAAGTATATAAAAATCGATACTAAATTTAGAATCGTTAACACTAAAAAAAAAAAAAAACTAATTAATTTTTAAAAAAAATGATTGAAATGGGTGTATTACTGTTTTAGGAGAGAAGTCGAAAGAGAGGATATATAGAGCAATTTATTTAATTTATATCTGTACACAACAATGAACCATTTTTAACGAAAAATTATTCTGAGCGGAGTAATATTAATCGAATCTCTCTTGTTGTCAAATAGTGACCCAGAGATCGACAAAAACTAATAGTTTTTCCTATTTATTTAGAAAAGTAAAAGAAAAATTAAAATCATTTTATCTATATGAAACTAAATTAGAAAAAAAATGAAAAAACTAGAAAATGTCTATTAATAACTCAAAATTAAGTGAAATCTATTTTTTTAATAATTAGGTAATTAAAAATTTAAAAATTAAGACCGAAAATGCTTTCTCCGGGTTGTGCTATCAGAAAAACGAGGACACAACCCGCAAGTCTTAAGTACGCACGACATAACCCTGTTTTTGTTTAACAGGAACAACTCTGTGTGGTTAATTTTACATTTAAAATTAAATGACCTATTATGAAACTTAAAGGTATAAAGATATTATTATATTATATTTGTGCAATGTACGGTTATTTCGATATTTGAATTTTTAACCGAGATAATATAAG